CCTGCAGGTTTTAAAGGTTTCTCTGCTTTAGCACAGCTGATTATGATGATTGCAGTTGAGCAAAAGCCTGTTAATCAACTATCAATGTAAATCAGCTGTGCTGGAGCAGAGAAACATCTAAAACCTGCAGGACAGCGGCCCTCGAGTACTTACTTTGGTGATGCCTGCTCTAGAGCTTCATCGCTTCTACTCGGAGCTGGACTCTGTTCCTAGTCAGGGTCTGTTTTGATTTTAAAACATAAATTTTTTCTTAATGACCTTTACTCTGAATATATCAGAAATATTTATGTGGTAGAATGAGGGGTGGGCATTTATCGTTTTCATTATAAACTTCTAATCATGCAAAAAAAATTTGATATACCATCAAATGATAATTTAGAATTAATGATTGAAAACAAGACAAAAAGGGTGAACTTTCAAAACTTTTGTTAATATTTCTAGTTTTTGTTTCTACCAATGGAATGACACATTTGAAGAAGATAATTAAATGTAGGAAGGAGTCCAAATGACATCTGAGGACCATTCAAAGCTCCTTGGTCATTTAAAGGCCACGTTTTCAAACTGCCCTGCTACGTTTTTCAGGATTAGAGCTGTATATCAGACAGCTGTATTAGTGTGTGCAGCAGAAAACTTGGTTGCAATATTTGGTTGGATTTAATGTTTGAAGTTTAAAGGTATTGTGGAGGAGTTTCACGATTTTTTTAAAAGACCCGCCCTCTCCACTCGTGAGAAAACATGAACAAGCCCATTTCTCCTTATGCACGCTCTGTTTTAAAGATGCTGTTCTAGTAGCTCATATAAACTCTCTGTGCCCTAACCCCTAAATCCCTCAATCCCTATATAGAGTGCGGACTATATAGTGGACCATATAGTGGACTTTAAGCAGTGATCATCTGTCTGATGACAGATGATCACTTTTTGCTCCCCGTTGGTCATGTAAATTCTCCTCCACTGCACGGTGCCTGCGCCATCTGTGTTATTAGCCGCTGCTGTCTGGTAGCAACATCCACTGTGACAGCATGTCCCATAATACCTTGCAAGGAGAGCTCTCCGCTTCACCCAGAAATAAAAGATTCTCTCTATGCCTTTTTAATGTTTTTTTTTTTATTCCCTACTAAAATTTTGTTCGGATTTAATTCTGTTTCGGCAGAAATGGAATGTTTATAATTCTGTGATCTGCATGCTAACTGCTAGTCTGCTTCCATTTTTTGCAGCAACAAACCTACTTTAAGTGTACTACTACCACCTTAAGGGTTGGAGTGAGAAAGTAGTGTCTCACTCTGGTTAAGTGGTGCGGTGATTGTTCGAGACCTTTTCCCTGTGTCTTTCCCCCTGTGTTAGTCTAATTTGCTGTCTGATAACTTTCATAAATCAAGATCTGTTTCATTCATTTTCCAATAAAAGCAAAACACGAGGGTAAAACACATGAAATAGAGCTAACAATTAGGAGTAAAACAATTAATTGAATTAATTGATTATTTAAATAATCAACTAATTTAGCAATCGATTAATCTAAAACATACATTTAGCGGACAGAGCAACTGACTCAGAGCAGTAATTATAATTAGATCAGATTAATCAATTAACAAAATAAATGTTTAATTCCTACTAACACTAGATAATCTATATGTAAGCATTAGTGAAGGTCAACATAGTTCATAACATGCAAAGTGAACCTAAAGCCAAGAGAAACAGAAAAGAAGACATAAAATAAAACCCAAGCAATCCCTCCTCAATCACTGCCAGAAACCATTTTGCATTAATTCAGGTAGATTGTGCTGTCAAAGAGATTGGAAAGGTCCCATAATCCTATTAAATGTAGCTTTTTTTTTATTGTTGAAGCGAGAATCCAATTTTTCTCCAGGACAAGACATGATGTCATCCAGACTGAGCGTAAGTAGGCGCGGAGGCCTTTCTACAACAGAGTGGTTGTAGTATCAGTGCCTAATCAGACTTCCAATACACAACGTTTCAGAAACTGAAATATCTCTTTCCAATATTTGTTAAAAAAGCAAAAGTGGAACATGTAGATGAGGGATGGTTCAGCATGTTTGCATCTCTCATAGTACATGATCCATGGAGAATAATTTCAATTTAAAGATGGGAGCTCTTTAAATTGGATTAGATATTGTCCAGCACATTAAAAAGTAGAGCTTGCACGGCTAAATATGGAGTTACAGAAGTCTTCTAAGACAAGGGCGAGACTAGATCATCTTTACAAGCAGATTTAAGTAGAAAAGAGGAGGCATGCTGCAGATCAAATAGTGTGCTTAAAATAAGCAATATAGGTTTTGGTTTTATTTGTCGGGGTTCAAAGAAAAGGAAAAAAAAAATACTATCAACAATAATCATGTCTCTTGAATACCTTACTTTGGAAATAATAAACAATATAAAGGCTAGGGGTTACTGGAAAAAAAAACTAAAAAAAAAAAATAGGAAAATGGACAAAAATCAAGTGTCTCTTCAATGTGGTTCTTTTTATTGTGTCTATTTTGCAAGCACAATTAACTGTCCAGCCTTAATCTTGTTTAAATGGATTCATTATATCCGGCAGCTCTATCTGGAGTGTAAAATTCTTTTTTTCTTTCTGAAAATCTTTTGCAATGTGTGATATTTTAATTATGCAGAGTTATAATAACTTATTTAATCAAGTATTGCTGCTCTAAAGCCTGATCTATCTTAGCTAGTTCTATTAATTTAAAGAGTTTTATTATTTTCGCTTTCACAAATAAATCTCTGTATGAAAATATCTCAATTCAAAGCTATGTTTAAAATTACAGTTGTTGACTTCTCTGGTAAAGATGTGTTTAAAAACCTGAACATAAAGTCATATTTAATGAGCTAGCACCAGCCATATAGGTAACATCAGCCTGTAATGTTATAACAAAAAATGTTAAATTCTAAAAAATATTTTTGATGCAATATTTGTCAGAATATTATATTCCAAGGGCCATGTATTAACCTTCATTATTCTAACAATATGTATGGTGTGTTGGATGGGCTTAATGCCAGCACTATATGTATATTTATAGGTGCCTAGATCTTTAATTCTCCTAAATAGTGATGGAGACATTGGTGTGAGGATGGGGTGGGAAAACATGGGTTTTAACTGTCTTTTTTTTACTGGATCCAATGTTATTGGCAGCCGTTGCTGTTAATATTCCATGCAGTCTTATTTTGTTCCTGTTTAAAGAAGTTTGGTGTTCTATGTTTCACTTTGAGTCGGTGCCATCCACCTATTCATCCGTTTTCCATCACGCTAATCCAGTGGTGGCTGGTGTTTTCTCCGGGAGGGGCTATAAATTAAAAGTAGACGTATGCCAAAAGCCACTCAAACGATGTATGAATGCAACAAAGAATATTATAAAAACACTTTCTAAAAACAAAACCTAATTTCATGTATAGGTTTACTTTTCATACATAAATGTTGCCTGTCTGAGGCGTTGTGAAGATAAATTTATGTTTTGCATGGTCCAATATTGTGTAACAAACCTAAAAAAAAAATGTACCAGTTCAATAATGGATAAGCTATTAGTCAGCTTTATATTCTTTTAATATATTGAAAACTATTTATTTTTTTGAGAATATAGATATGTTTATTTAAGAGCAACTATGCAAATTGACAAACACCTAGAAAAAGTACAGTATATTATATTATTTTACATGTGAATCCCAGATTGTTTATTCTTTGCCCTTTCTAAAAAGTGCTTTAAATCAATCCTGTTCTGACGTTTGAAAAAGGAGGCAGGGAAAGCAGAATAAAGTGTTAGCCTCGCTACATGCAGTTAGCCAAGCCCTCTTTCTAAACTAGGTCTAAACTGCGCAATTTCTCTCTCTCTCCAATCCGTCTCCCAACTCCCGCAACTCTCGTTATACGCAATACGTCTGCGCTGTGGCGGGAGGTGGTGAGCAAATACACTTCCTGCCACCTCAGAGCGCACCAGAGCTGCCCCCTGAGCTCTCCTATACCTTTGTATTGCAGACCAGCTACTGCGTATCTACAACTTTTAACGAGAGTCAAGGGGCAAAGCAGAAACCAGCCAGGAATCTAACCCAGAACCTTCTTGCTACAAGGCAACAGTGCTACCCACTTGCTGCACTGAAAAAAATTGAAATCTAAATAAGTAATTTTTTTCTTAAAATAAGTATATTTTGTCTTGCAATGAGGAGGTAAGTGAGACACTTTTCCAGTGGAATAAGAAAATTTTCATTTAGAATAAGAATATATAATTGCATTCTCTGATTTCAAGTTCATATTATCTAATTATACTCACCTACTCAAATTAGGAATAACTAACCTTAATGGAAGATTTTTTTTTTACTTAATTCTATATCTTTCTTTTGCAGTGTGTGGAGTTTTTCTTTACTTTATCCTTTTTGATCAGAGGTTAATTCACTTTACAACTGCTGAAATGCAACACAAAATGGACACATTTCCCCAACTATATAACAGCCAATTATGAGTGTTATTATACAAGCATCATCAACAACTGCTGTTTTTGATTTTGTCTGCTTATAATTAAGATTTTATATCATCAATCTCCATGAAAGAAATACACAATCATATACTTGATCATTACCAAGGTAGCAACAGAAACCATATGAGGTGGACTCTCAACTTTGTATTTTTGTTTTGTTTTGTCTTTTGTTTCTAATTCTTGATCAGTGCAACTCTCCGACAATATTGCCCCAAATATAGTATTTCACATCAACATAATCTTGTTTTTCCTGCCCCCCAAAAAAACTCAGGTTAAAGCAAGCTCAGATATTTATAGAGGGGAATATTCAGACTTTTCCCATCCCTGGACAGTAGCATTAATGTGAATATTCACTTATACGTTCTCCTTCTCACTCCACAGATTTCCCGGTAGATATGGGTTTGTGGACTGGTTGAACAAATGTAATGAAGAAAATAAAAGATTGAGATTGACAGATTTTAAAAGCATTGAGCTTGTGTTGATGCATCAGTTACTGACCGTCTCATTTGCCTCCATTTTCAGATAATCCAGTATCAGACGGTGCGATATGACATTTTGCCCCTGTCACCTATATCCAGAAACAGACTCAGTAAGTATACATTTGTTTTCATTCATCTCTCTCTCCCTCTCTCTGCAAAATCATACTGTGATGACGAGGAAGCATGTAGAAAATCACCTCAAAAAAAAAAAAAAAGTTAAAAAAATAAGAAAAACGGATTGCCTCATTTTTTGCATTGTCTCTAGTCTGGATACCACAGAGTGGACTGACAATCAACACAATTCTACCGAGCAAAAGTTAAACCAGTTTGTCAAGAATAAAGTAGTTGTGCTCAAAGACGTTCAGCACTTCCTTGCCTCATACAATGTGATCACCACTTTATTTTAGCCCAGGGTTTAGTCCTGACATCATGCATGCTTTTTCCTCATCAGGAGACTCAAAACAGTGTAGCTTTGTCCTGTAAAGCAGTGTTGTGAGAGTTTACCAAAAGATTATGAATTTATTAAATGAGTGGAACTGGAAGTTATAGTTAATTAATATGTCATTCCAATCAAGGGTAAAACTAATTATCAGTTGAATGATTATAACTGTAATTTGCTTACTGACCAGGTTTTTTTTTGCCTCTTACCTAAAGGGTTGGACTCCTGAATCCGGCTATTAAAAATTCAGTTGTCTTTCACCAATTTAGTAATTTAGACTTTGGCTATCAGCAATGTTATTAATCACCAACCAAATAAAGGTGTCTCTGTTCATTCGGATGCTACTAAAATAGAGTGAATCCAGCCTGAGTGATAAATGGTTCACTGTGTAAAATAAGGACTGTGAGTTAAAATACAATGGCACCTTTATTAGCTACAATCACACTGTAAACACTACTGAAAATAAGTAAATAAAAATAAAAATAAGTAAATAAAAATACAAAAATAAAAGGGAAGAGGGGTTTAAAAGTCTAACGAATGTTCAAAGTTTAAGGCTTAATGCATTTGAAAGTGTCCTTTAGGAATAGCAGCAGATAAAATGTGGATAAACCCTGATGTAAATATGTTCACTGGAGTCAAAACAGTAAAGTTTCAGTTTTATGGTGAAAAATGAATGACTCAGGAGTGCATTAAACAGCAATGAGACTGAAATGGAAATGGGTTAGCTTCACTGTCCCCAGGGTTTGTGGTCTGGTCAGGTCCAACTAAAAAATAAAGGGTTGCTCACGATGTAGCCTCCACAACGTGTTCAGCGTGAGTTAGCTGATGCTACAATGCTAGCCAGTCCACTGCAGCAGTTAGATTCAGAAACACGTGACTTGTTTAGTCTGGCACTGTTTTGGTTGTTTGGAGTGAAGGCCTTCGGCTCGGTTTTCTGCAGTCCAGTCTGTTCGTTCAACAGCACCTGAAAGAGATTTGGATCAATCCGATGCAATAATAAGAGGCGAATTTGCAAAGAGGGTTAATTTTATAAATCAATGTAGCAGAGGCGTCACCCTTTTTAGCTATGGAGGTTAGCTTGTAGCCCGTCTTCAAACAGCAGTACCTCCTCGATGCAGCTCCGTCTCACGTTGTCAAGGGTCTGGCGGCTTCTAACGGCTCCTTCAGCGAACAGCGATTTGGGACCCTGTTGTTTAGCGGTTAGATTCAGGTTAGCAGAGCTGGATTAGCTTTTCTCTGTCTCTCCTGCAGCAGGCTTCAGGGAACACTGCATTCAACTCTGTTTGCAGGAACAATGAAAAAATGAATAAGCTGCGGTCAGCTCCTTTTGAATCACAGGGAAAAGGCAGTCTGACTTGGTCCAGTGAGCGCAGACTTCTCCGGAGTGCTTTGGTTTCTACTTGGTGTAGCCTTCAGCTGGAAGTGCTCAGACTAGCGGCCTGGGGCCACCTGCAAAATAGGATGTTGAACAGGAAGTTACCTGTTTTAAAACCTCTGGCAGAGGGGTGTGTCTTCAGAGGGGAGAAGTTCTGGTTACATCAGCAACACTTGCTACCAACAGTAGATTTGACTTTCAATTCAATTAAATTCATTTATCCACACACATCATCTCAAGGGACTTTAAAGAGACATTTTAACCAGATCACACATTCTAATTGGTTCAAAGTTTTATATCTAAGGAAACTTTGATTAGAAAACCTCTATGCTTTTCAGGCAACATATATGCTGTATTTTCCTCCTGATATGCTTCAGTAAATCATCACTCTTTCGTTTAGTCCTACTAGGCATTTCGGTTTCTGTTGACCTTAGAAAGTGAAAGTGATTCTGTATTCTCAGAGGAAATTATGCTGAAGAGCAAGAATAATTGTATTTACAGGGCTTTAAAATTACAGAGAGAAAACAATTTATTGCCTTTAGGTAAACATGGATAAGATGCTTTATTATTCTTTTATAATGCCACAAATATCCAAACTGTAGTTGACTTTGTGCAGTTGTACCATAAGCACAGGCTAAAAAAGGTCAACCATCTTTTGTGTGAACTACTATCCTCCCAGAACAAGTTTGACCAGTGAAATGACTGCTTACAGGTTTCAGAGCAGCTCTGCATGTTAAAGTGGAGGAAATGGCATGGATACAGGAAGCACTCAGATTAAAAACGACTCCTGATGGCGTAGGTTTGCTCTGAACTTCCCTCATGTCAGTGGAGAGCTCATTCAAGCCGGACATAGAGGACAGATTATGTTTCAGTTGTTTCTGTCTTTAGCTGCAAACTCCTTTTTTTACAGCTGCGTTTCCAGAATTATATCTGCATTAATAGATGGTGATTAAATCTTTAAGTGACCCTGATCTAAAGATGGTTTTTGATACTTTTAAGAGAATATATGAATTTTGGAAAGTTCATCCCTAAAGTCCATTTCATTTAGTGGAGCTCTATAAAGCCCCGCATTATGTTCCCATTTTTTTCCAGTCATTATTGTTTCATATAAGTTTTAAGTAAACAGTCCTTAATGATTAAAGACGTTTCCTGGATTTTTTTTATTTTGTCTTTTTTTTCCAAAAGGTTCTGCAGCTGAAACAAGATGTTTAAATACACAGATAAAAAAACAACAACCTGTTTTTATTTTTCTTCTCTAATTGACTAAGACTAAACATCTCTTCTGTTAGATCAGTTTAGGATAAGAAGAATTACTATTCGCTCAGTGCCAGAATAATACGCTACAATTTATTTACTATCTTTAAATCCAGAGGTTAACATACATTTTGATGGTATTTGGTAGAACTGTCATTTGAAATTACTACACAAATCTTTAAATTACTCCTGGAATTGAGGTCAGTCAGCTTAACAGAGTTTGACCACATAAGGTTTGCAGACCACCTCACACATCACACTCAGCTCTGCACATCAACTTCCTGTAGGCCTGGGATTAAGAGTTTCCTATGGTTGTGCCAAAACATTGACTTTGTTAACCCTAAAGCCACTTTGTAAATGATTTAACGGTGTTCTCTGGGTTAATATCCACGTGGACGTCCGATTGATGCCCAAGCATTACGCTCCCGGCTCATTGCTTGAGGTGCTGCTTTAATATATCTATTTTGTGTGGTGCACCTGTCCCTCTTGTTATAAAGCATCAAAACATGTTGCTGCCATTATTATAATTGGAGCATTTGTATGATTTTAGCCTCCTATTAGTAACCATAACTTCCTGTTTCCCTTGGGTATAAATAAAATGTGACAAAGTAGCTGGTTCTATGTGAAATTTGTTCAAATGAAAGACAAAAAGAAATTAATTAGACCACGGTGGCAAAAAACAAGCAGTCTGAACACATGGCCATTTTTACATTTCCCAATAAATAAGGACAAAAGTTCAGGTTTAAGAACCAGCGTTTATCTTGTTAACTATACCGTTGTTGTGTACCAATTTTTCAGTGAAAGATAAATATACAGCAGTAAAGGAGGAATTTATTTAGAGGTTTCTTTTTAATACATCTTGCCACAGGTCCAATTTGTCCGGAGGAAGCAGCATAGAAAATAAAGAGACTTCAAGTTCACTCTGCATGCTAGATATGTCTGAATGAGAGACACAATAAAAAGTTTTATTTACCCATTTTATTTCTGAAAAGATTTCTCACGGTTACAGATCTATTATTTGATTATCAATAGCAGAATGAATAAAAAAGAGAAATAATCAGCACCATAATATAATTAGTAAAACATGCAGATTTTTTTTTTTTTTTTGTTTAACTCGGCCTTGTATGGTATTTTTTATTTTTGTTGTTTATTTTTCAAGGAAAGGAAAGCATGACCAGCTACAATCATCTCTCATGAAGTCTTACACCAAGACTAAAATGTTTAAATCTGTTAAATCTGGATCCTCCTTCTTCTGTTCTAGATGCAGTAAAGAGGAAGATTCTGGTTCTGGATCTGGATGAGACGCTGATCCATTCTCACCACGACGGGGTCCTGAGGCCCACAGTTAGACCGGGCACGCCGCCAGACTTTATCCTCAAAGTAATGGCCGACAGTCAAAAAAAAAGAAAAAAAGAAAACGACTGAATCTGAATCCTGTTTCTGTCCTAGTTAACTGGTCTGTGTGTTTGCTCCTCCATGCAGGTCGTCATAGACAAGCATCCGGTCAGATTCTTTGTACATAAAAGGCCGCACGTCGACTTCTTTTTAGAAGTGGTGAGTGTCCGCCAGTTTAATTGTATCTTTAGAGATAAAAAGCCACAATAATCCCTGCTATGTTAAACTTTGTTTGTTCTCATCTGATCTGCTGCCTGATGTCATAAGCTAATATTTATTTTGTTTATACTGCACATCCCTGACGACTCTAACTTGCCTGCTGTTGTGTGCTCTAAACGCTCTGTGTACACAGGTGAGCCAGTGGTATGAGCTGGTGGTTTTCACAGCCAGCATGGAGATCTATGGCTCAGCTGTTGCAGACAAGCTGGATAACAATAGGAACATCCTGAAACGCAGATACTACAGACAGGTATTGCTCAGTGCTATATGTATTCATCTTAAATGTGTGATAAATCAAAAACTGGTGACTCTTCACTGTTCTATTTCTTTGTTTTTTTCCTCTCCCAGCACTGTACATTGGATCTAGGTAGTTATATTAAAGACCTGTCTGTAGTACATGATGACCTGTCCAGTATTGTTATCCTGGATAACTCGCCTGGTGCTTATCGAAGTCATCCAGGTAAGGCTTACTTTGAATTGATCAGCAATTATCATAAATTAAATGTTGTAAGAAAATTCATAAAATGTAGATTAGAATCATGAAAATTGACCATAATCACAGAAGTTCCCTCAGGCAGTAGTTCTCATAGTTCTGACGTTAATATCAAAGAAGGTGTGACAATGTGATCCTAATACTACAAACCGGATTCCAAAAAAGTTGGGACACTAAACAAATTGTGAATAAAAACTGAATGCAATGATGTGGAGGTTTCAAAAACAAATATTTTATTCAGAATAGAACACAAATCGCAGATCAAAAGTTTAAACTGAGAGAATGTATCATTTAAAGGGAAAAATATGTTATTTCCAAATTTCATGGCATCAACAAATTCCAAAAAAGTTGGGACAAGGCCATTTTTACCACTGTGTGGCATTCCCCCTTCTAACAACACTCAACAGACGTCTGAGGACAGAGGAGACCAGTTTCTCAAGTTTAGAAATAAGAACGCTCTCCCATTCATGTCTAATACAGGCCTCTAACTGTTCAATCGTCTTGGGCCTTCTTCGTTGCACCTCTTTATGATGCGCCAAATGTTCTCTATAGGTGAAAGATCTGGACTGCAGGCTGGCCGGATCCTTCTCCTACGTAGCCATGATGTTGTGATTGCTGCAGAATGTGGTCTGGCATTATCTTGTTGAAAAATGCAGGGTCTTCCCTGAAACAGATGACGTCTAGATGGAAGCATATGTTGTTCTAGAACTTGAACATAGGTCTCTGCATTTATGGTGCCTTTCCATACATGCATGCTGCCCATGCCACAAGCACTCATGCAACCCCATACCATCAGTGATGCAGGTTTCTCAACGGAGCATTGATAACAGCTTGGGTTATCCTTGTCCTCTCTGGTCCGGATGACATGGCGTCCCAGTGTTCCATAAAGAACTTCAAATCGTGACTCATCTGACCACAGAACAGTCTTCCATTTTGCCTCACTCCATTTTAAATGATCCCTGGCCCAGTGCAAACAGCTGAGCTTGTGGAGCTTGCTTAGAAATGGCTTCCTCTTTGCACTGTAGAGTTTCAGCTGGCAACGGCGGAAGGCACGGCAGATTGTGTTCACTGACAATGCTTTCTGGAAGTATTCCTGAGCCCATTCTGTTATTTCTTTGACAGTAGCATTCCCGTTTGAGGTGCAGTGACGTTTAAGGGCCCGGAGATCACAAGCATCCAGTGAAGTTTTGTGGCCTTGTCCCTTATGCACAGCGATTGGTCCAGATTCTCTGAATCTTTTGATGATGATATGCACGGTTGATGATGATAACTTAAAAGTCTTTGCTGTTTTACGCTGGGCAACACCATTCTGGTATTGCTGCACTATCTTTCTGCGCAACAATGGTGGAATACGTGATCCTTTTACCATTTTGGCTTCAGAGAGACACTGACACTCTGAGAGGCTCTTTTTATTCCCAATCCTGTTGTCAATTGGCCTAATTAGTGTTAGTTGGTCTTCCAGCTGTTCATTATATGCTTAATATCCTTTTCCCAGCCACTTATTGCTACGTGTCCCAACTTTTTTGGGATCTGTAGACACTGTGAAATTTTGCATCAACATATTTTTCCTTTAAAATGTTTCATTTATTCAGATTAAACTTTTGAGCTGTCATCTATGTTCTATTACGAATAAAATATAGACATTTGCCATCTTCACATCATTGCATTCAGTTCTTATTCACAATTTGTTTAGTGTCCCAACTTTTTTGGAGTCTGGTTTGTATTATTATTATTTTTTTAAATAAACACCAGTTCTCTAAGGAAGGGGACTTTATGGCAATCTGCATGTGTACCATGTTTGCTTATGTTGCAAATTATGTATCATATTATGTAAATTTTGTAAGAACAATTTAAAAAGCTTAAACCTAAAAATTGCTTCAATATGATTTTATCTTGTGTAAGAATTAAACTCTTATAATAACACTACAGAACTCTTATAATAAAGCTACAGAAAAAAAATAAATAAATACATATATGTATGTGTGTGTATAAGATAAATAGTGAATAGTCCATCTCTAAGAGCACTAAATATAAAGAGAAGCAATGCACTGGATTACCTGAAATTAAGTTAATTTAACAAAAGCCATGTCTGGCAGGAGGAAATGATGAGAGGAATGGAAGAGGAAGCTATTTTCATCCTTTTCATTGTGTTTGAAGCGTTTCTTCTCTCTCTTGCTACCTTTCCACTGGTTATGTATTATACTTTTTTTCCCCCCATGGGAATATTGTACCAGCTTTTAACATAAATGGACATTGAATCTGTAATTGACCTAAAATATATAAACAGTTAATCAAATCAAAGTATGTTTTCAATATGTAACAAGACAGCAAATCAGGGCATGGTTATTTTTCTCTTTGCCTCTAAGCATAGATAAAAATTAAACATTTCAGATGGGAAGATTTTTTTTTAATGCATAATGAGCTACATGTTCATTTGATTGCATAACTGTGTCTAACCACGATCTCAGTGGTAAGCCTGAGCTGTAAAAATTATTATTCTAGACATTTTCCCTCCCTCTGTTGGGTCTGACTGGCTGTTTTCTGCCCTACAGACAATGCAATACCAATCAAGTCCTGGTTCAGCGACCCTAGTGACACAGCACTTCTAAACTTGCTGCCTATGCTGGATGCACTAAGGTAATAGACACTTTGAACTTGTTAATGACTTTGCATACAATCCTATTTTAGTCCATGTCTTTGTTAATGGCTGACAGAGTTAGGTTAAAAAATGCCTTTAACTTTTTTCTTTGTTACGTTACAAGCACAAACTACTTGATTGAGTGCAGGATTATGACAACAAAGGACTTTTATACCGTATTTTCACGACCATAAGGCGCACCGTACTAAAAGGCGCACTCTCAGTTATGTGTCCCATTTCTGTATTTAACACACACATAAGGCGCACCGGACTATAGGGCGCATTTTTTATATACAGGTACATGTCCTCTACTACCTTTAAATAGCTCTACTGCGTATTTAAAAATACAGCGGGGGCAAAACTGAGTATGACTGTGCTTTATTCATGTATTTATTACAAAGTATTAATCAAACCTGCGAGCTGGCCATGAGACAGGCACATCGCAGATGACAGTGCGCTGTGATTACTCCTAAATTAACTTAAAATCCTAAAACCTGCCGACGGAATATGTTCGCTTTTATTGCCGGTATCCTGGTGCCTGCAGTTAAAATTATTTAGATGAAAAACACCTGCCAGCAGCTGCGGTGAGGCTGCTGTTGAATGGATTCCTACTGTCGGTGCACCGCTGGTATGTGGGGGTCTGAGTGCCTCCGACAGAAATAGATAATCTGGATGAACTGACTGCAATTATGAAGTTTTCAGGTGGACTTTCTCACTTAAAAACATATTAAAACTACTTTATTCCCACTGATCACAGCAAATATAGCTGCAAGATTTAGATTATTTAGATGAAAAAACACCTGCCAGCCACCGCGGTGAAGAGGAGGAGACCCGCCCAGAGGCTGCTGTTGAATTAAGCTTTCAGGTAGAAAAATAAAGCGGGAGCAAAACTGAGTATGACTGTGCTTTATTCATGTATTTATTACAAAGTATTAATCAAACCCATCAAAGTCATCATCCTCTGTTTCTGAATTAAACAGCTGCGCTAAATCAGACATGCCAATTTCCCCTTCTGCGCTGTCAGAGTTACTTTCCGTGCAGCGCAGCTCCTCAGAAATAATGCCGGCTTTTGCGAAAGCTTGAACAACAGAGCCAGCAGACACGTTAGTCCATCTACAATCCATCCGCAAACGGTGGCGTAACTTGCCCGGCGCTGCCTTCCACTTATCCTGAAACTGTGGTCTCTGTCGGCCATCCATCGCTCCCACGCCGCTCGCAGCCTTACTTTGAACGGCCGCTTCACACCGATGTCGAGCGGTTGAAGTTACTTTGTCAGACCCCCGGGATAACGGCGAGCACAGCGTTCATTTGATTCACCTTTTTTTTCACATCGGCTGTGAGATGGGCAGGCAGCGATGGTGATGCGTGGAAAAAAGCACCTGGTCTCCTCACATACACCTGCCTTTCATCATCTCCTCATTCATCCAGCCTTTTTCATTTGCGTTCATATGTCATCAGAGCGCTGTGTCTGTCTCGCTGTCAGCTCCCAGATTAGCTTCTCTGATTGGTTGATGCGGCGCGTCCAGCAGCAAAACTTCAATTTTTCCATCTCGAGCAGCAGCAGCGCGTTGGCGGTGCGTCAGATGATTAAACGCTCCTGAGGCGCTGCGGCTGCAGCTCAAAACGCGCTGCAGGACCTTTTGCTGCGCCTATACGCGCGTCAACCATTGACTTTGCATGTAAACTCGCTGCTTCTGCTGCACCTGCTGGATCTGGTTCACACCGATGTCGAGCGGTTGAACAGCGAGCACAGCGTTAATTTGTTTCCCCATGTTTTTCACATCAGCTGTGAGATGGGCACGCATGGAGTTACATATTAACAGCGATGGTGATGAGTGGAAAAAAAAACACCTGGTCTCCTTACATTCAGCCACTCTTTCATCATCTCCTCAATGAGGTGGTCTCAAAAGTCGCAGTTACAACACACATAAGGCGCACCGCACCATAGGGCGCACCGCACATTTTGAGGGAAAAAAAAGACGTTTAAGTGCGCCTTATAGTCGTGAAAATACTGTACTTTAAATAAAATGTGCAATAATTCTTACTGCAGTACAAGGAGTCCCGAGTTTTGAGTAACTTGATGAAAGAATAAATATGTGTTTATTAAAGGCCTCAGTAGATTTGTTAGTGTTGGTGTCCTGCAGCTTTTAGATGTAAATATGCTACGGCATACAAGAATCGCATTAATAGGTCCTTAGCAGAACTCTGGGGAATCTGACTGCATTAGGAGGTTATTGAGCCATGATTTAAGTGTGTCAGAAATGTGCATATCTTAAACTGAAGTTTGCTGATGAAGATTCTCAGTCATCCAGGTCATAGTCATTCTGTAAAAGTTTAAAAAACAATCCACTGGACTTGTTATCCAAGATTTGAAGACATTTCGCTACCTCTCCAGCTTCCTGTAGGGGAACCGAAACGTCTTCAAATCTAGGAAACCAAGTCCAGTGGATTGTTATTTAAACTTTTTACGGAATATACTGAAGTTTGTTACACCTGATTGGATGGAAGCCATAAGATTGATATTTGAAACATTACAATGAGCCAAAACAATTGGATGATGAGGACCAAGGTTGAAACCTTGAATCCAAGGTTTGGTGATAGAATAGCCCATTCAAATTTTGATTTCAGTGTTTGTGTCCTCTCAGCTGTTCCCTTATTCAGGGGTCACCACAGCGAGTTTCTTCTTGGCACTACTGGGATTCAAACTCTGGTTCCCCTACTTTCAATTCAGTGATTTAAACCATATGGACTCCGAATGTCCAGCTCTAAATTCAATTAAGAATATATGAGAATACAAAAGGAATCCCTTTTGTCCCTCCTGACTGTTTGCAAATGGTACTGGACAAAAACTTAAGTCCCTAGATGTACCAAGCTGCTAGCGACATACCTAAAGAGATGTGCAGGTGTAATTACCAAGAAAGGTTGTTTTATAAAGTAACGACTCTGTGCAGCTGACCATAAATGGACGAATCCTTAGAACGTCTCCAAAATGTCGAGGAGGACTAAATCCTTTGGCAAACCTGTATGAATGCAGTTTTTGTATAGTTTACTTTAAGACTTCTTTAAATGTGCCTGTTGCAGGTTCACCGCTGACGTTCGATCCGTCCTCAGTCGAAACCTCCACCAGCACCGACTCTGGTGATCGGCTACATGAAGAGACGTGGGGCTGTTTCAGCAACGTCCTTCTCTCTGCCGGCCTCCATCCTGCCCTCCTTTCCCACTCAGACGACCCACCAGCCCTCTTAGATGTATACTGAGGACCAGGGGTGGTGGGGTGTGCGTCTAACCTGGGATGAACAGCACGGGATCATCAGAACCTAAAAACTACTGGGGAGGGAGAGGGAGTCGGCTGTTTTTTGTTTTGTTTTTTTGTGTCCTCCTTAAATCTTGATTTTTTTTTTTTTTTTTCTAAAACAAAAAACAGAGCCTCTCTGCCTTATAGCTCCTGATGCTGACTGTATGAGTACGGAGAGGAGCTTGTGTATGTGTGCTGGAGCTGGTTAGTCCTTTTTAAACTTTTTTCTGGGAAGACATGGGGGGCCTAAAGAAGCGGATCGGCGAAGCAACAAAGACAATTCGACATCATTATCTCTGCCTCCTCCATTATCATCATAACTTCAACATCCACCTCATCTTACCTTCACGGAGCAAATCAAGGGGGTAGCATAGAAAACGAAATGGGTTTGATTCATTTATAACTGAGGTACTATTTCCTTCTGCCCAATAAGAATGGATTTATTAAAAAAATAATTTGCTGGAGTTTTCTTTAAATAATACATCCACTGGCCTATTTTTCTGAACGGGTATTTTTTCCCTCCCATTCCGTTGGGATCTTCACTTTTTGCCCCACAGCTCCTCATGGGACTCTGTGACATGAGACTGAAACATTGTGATAAGAGCAGATGGCTTGTTAATGATATGTGGACTGCAGTATTGCTTTTCCATATCTGATTGTTTTCAGCCGCCATTATATATGATAAGAATTAATTCTCCATAGAAGATGTTTTGCTTTCTCATTTAATGCCATCCTGATTTTTGCCTAATAGAAAATTGCACTTAACCCTCCAACTTTTTTTTTTTTTTTGTTGCAGGTTTTGTTTTTATTTTCTGTTTTACAGCCTTCCATGTTCTGTTTCCACCTTGGGTTGTATGGGTTCAGCTGTAAGACCCTCTTATCTTAAAAATGCCTTCTGAACAATGTCAGTTTCGTCAAAGCTCACAGCGGCTTCTGATTGGCTCTGTCTCCATGTCCATGTTACTAATAAAACACTTGTCAGTATCGAACAGCTACCTACGCAGCTTTGTTCCTTTTCACTATAATACAACCTTATAGTTCTATAGTTATTTTTAAAGTAAATTCTTCCACTGGCTGGATTTCAGTTGGATGATCTGCTGACACCATGTGTTCTAAACGGGAACTACACCTTTTATTCCATACGTAAGGATGGATGCTTAAAGGAATAGTACACCCAAAACATGATTAGCCTTCATTTTCTACTCACCCCAATGCTGAACAACACTCTGGAGTACTTTTTTGATATCTCAAATGCATCTGGAGATCTGGGAGGCTTCTTGCTGTCTGCTGACATTCAAATAATGGAGGTCCATGGCGCCCGAGGCAGAAAGGTCCATAAAAGTCCACAAAAAACGTGTCAATATTCCTCCATACTGCTCGTCCAATGTATTCCAAGTGTCCTGAGTGGGTAGCATCCATAATTTACTCGAAACGAAGTCATTTAGAATGTTTTTAGAGCATAAACAGTAGTGTATAGGATTTCCTAAAAGCACGTTCACGAGTCTACGGAAACCGCGGCAGACCAAACCAGATGAAAGTGCGCATTCAGCGTCTGCTCTGCCAATAATGCAAGCGTAGAAGAAGAAATGTGCTGTTTACCTGTGCAAAGAAAGAAACAACGAAAGAAAAATGTCTGAGGACTTCAGTGTTGAGGAAGAGCATGAGTTCTTCGCCGAGCTGAATGCGCACTTTCATCTGGTTTGGTCTGCCGCGGTTTCCGTAGACTCGTGAACGTGCTTTTAGGAAATCCTATACACTACTGTTTATGCTCTAAAAACATTCTAAATGACTTCGTTTCGAGTAAATTATGGATGCTACCCACTCAGGACACTTGGAATACATTGGACGAGCAGTATGGAGGAATATTGACACGTTTTTTGTGGACTTTTATGGACCTTTCTGCCTCGGGCGCGATAGACCTCCCATTATTTGAATGTCAGCAGACAGCAAGAAGCCTCCCAGATCTCCAGATGCATTTGAGATATCAAAAAAGTACTCCAGAGTGTTGTTCAGCATGGGGGTGAGTAGAAAATGAAGGCTAATCATGTTTTGGGTGTACTATTCCTTTAAGGTAGATACTACTTCTCTGTTTTTTGTTCTGCAGGTACAACCCGATAACAAAAATCTGATTATTTGTATACCAGAGTTTTAAATGCATGCTCCCATCAGTCATTGTTTCTGTATTTTGAAACAAAGCGGTGTTCGGTTATACTCAGTTTATTCATGTAGCACTTCACAACACCAGTATCTGAGGGTACTTTACAAATAAAGTTCAATCAAACACAGGTTAGTTAAGTCTTCTGCCCAAGTAAACCAAGCTGACTGAATGGACTCATTGACGCTTTAGCAATCACATCAAGCATGCATGCAGCGACAGTAGAGAGGGAAAACTCAGTTTTAACTGGAAGAAACCTCCACCAGAGCCAGGCTTATTTTGAGTAACTTACGGAATCAGACATGTAAAATTAGCATAGACTTACTCATCTATAAATAATTTGTTAGAAAAGTTAACAAAGTATGGGACTCTAGGAGATAAACAGTGAAGGAAATTAGCTCTGAGCCAGTTTTCATGTCAAAAAGGATGAAAGGGAGCACATACAGTAAGTCACATTAAAAGCTGACCATATAGTTATGTCTAGGACAGAAACGGGACTGAATACTGAAAAAACAGCAACTCGATTGGAATTTGTTGACAGCAGCAGCCGAGCTAATGACTTCCTTCAGGATTATGTAACTGCTGAATGAAGCACCACATCGGATGTAGCTATCATAAGAAAAAAAAGTTTGTTCACTAACAAATCGTACAGAATTGAAGTAGAAGAAGCAGAACCCCATGTCCTCCAGCAGCCTAAGCCTATAGCAGCATACCTACAGGGATGGGTCTGGATAACCTGATAACCTCATTTTATGGATGTCATCTCCATGTATCCCAGTCTGTACCCTCAAAATAACTTTGCATGGCTTCTTCAGCTTCCTGTGACCCTCTTCTTACAGTTCTTGTTAATTCAGGTTGTCTCTTATAAAGTGGCTTATACCCTGACAAAAAACAAGATTTTGATCCGATTTTCCAAGAAGCAGTCTTACTTCCGTAATGTAGAGGAGTCCTTGACATTTCCATAAAACAAGTACAAAGTTTAGTTTTCTGTGGTACAGCAAACTGTTGGAACGTTGGTAATGTAGCAGAGAGTTAGGTGTAATTAAAATCACCAGTTATTGCTAAAAGTGGATTCGGCTATTGTGTCCATAGCTAAGCAACAACTGAACTGATTACATCACATGCAGTGTTTGCAACAGCAGAAGGTGGAATGTAAACTTTACTAACAGAACACTGGTAAACTAGGCAAATAATATGGTGGAAAGCCAACAACAGTTCAATATCTTGGATGCATTGAATCTTCACAGTAACATGTCCTGGATGACACCATCTGTTATTCACAAGCACTGCCATCCCATCTCCTTTGAATTTTCCAGTCTTCTTTAAATCTCTATCTGCTCTTATGTTCAGAAAGCCTGAGAGACGCTGGAATCCGAGACATGATCTTGTAGCCACATTTCCGGAAAACGCAATGCTGCATTACCGATTTTCTGGCTGGGATCTTGCTAGCGCTTAAAATATTTGTTTCCTAAAGATCTCACATTGCCCATGATGATTGATGGAAGAAATTGTTTACATTTCTTGTTCCTCTATCATGGACTTGCTCTGGCTCTGCATCCCTGGTGCCTCCTTTTCAAGTCAGTTGGTACTTGCAGAATTAGTTGATGTATTATTTTAGCTTTAGTGATCTTAATTAGCTGCTCTTGGGTGTAAAAAAATCAACTTGCTATGGTTGCTGTGGTTACCTATCATAACGAGTATCCAAAAACAAGTAGACACAAAATAAGTAGCCACAAATGAAGAAACCAAAGTGCCCATAAAAAAGAATATCAGAGTCAAGCTAGCAGCGCTACTCCAATGTACAGCCACCTTAAGCAGCGCAATTCTACAACTTAAGTTGCTGAAGAAATAGTTTGAAATAAGCAAGGGATGCAGGAAACACTTGAAAAATCTCACAAAAGGATGCTGTAGCTGGCAACTACAAGTGTCTTATTGCTCCCCGGGCGCCACACAATGGCAGCCCACTGCTCCCAAAGGGAATTGGTTAAATGAAGAGGTAAATTTCTCCTATGTGAAATCAATAAAGTTCAATAATTATTATACTGTTTAGATAATTCAGGGGGATAAGAGTAGATATTAAAGGATATAATGTCCTAAATCTACATTCTACACTTTTTTTTTCATAAGTGAGAAAAAAAGTTTGCACCATTTCTAGGCTTCATCCCTTGTTCAAAATGATAAAAATGTAAACCCCCTGTAAGATAATAAATATAAGACTCTGGGTCAAATAGACCCCTTCACTAGTTTGTACTCTCATTTCTGAAGAATGCACTGCTGTTTTGACTTTTCCTTCTTCAGTTTCTTAGCTCTAAATTAACTATTTCATACTCAAGGACTTGTACCACAAGTCATCCTTTTATTCTTTGGGTAAAACATTTTTCAAATTATGGATATGGACATAGAAATCCAAATCTAATGTATAATATAAATGCATTCTATAAAGAATTGATTTACACCCATTTCCATTTATTTTGGTTCCTGCTCTAATTCAGACTACTTTATTTCTGAAAGATAAGATAGATTATAATTCTCCCACTAAGTTGCTGGTCAAAATTCAATGTTTCAATTATAAAACATTTTCTTACAGAAGAGCACTAATGAATTGTAGGAATTGACTGTAAATCAAGATTGTAAAAGCATGTATGAAATGCTCCTGTGTGAGGTAGCCCAGTAGCCCAATGCTTAGTCTCTCAACCCAAGAAAGTTGGTTACAAAATAACCAAAACTGCAAAAGTTTACAAGGGTGCATAAGTGAGGAGCAGTTGATGTCCTTTGTCTTTTATTTACTGCATCACAGCTGACAATTCTGAATTATCCAAACATACCCCACAGTAAATAGACACACCACTTCGCAGACCTAAAACCTGCTAGATCCATGCTGTTTTGGTATTGTTAAAATATTTTAGATGTTAAACAAGCAAATTGTTGGAATTTTAAAAAGTAGATAAATTAATTAAATTATTACATAATTTTAATTTTGTCAAGGATAATTTAGGACACATTTATTAGGGCTGAGTGTTAAAGGAGACCAGAAATTAGTTCAGTAAACTAGACAAGCTCTATGTAAAGGAAAAAACCTTTTAGTATAAAACAGAATCACAAACCACATTTAATATAATATTGTTTAAGAAAGTGTTTTTATTATTTTATTTTTTCTATAATAAATATATTTTTAATCTTCTTTTTGTTTGTTTTACTATTATGTTAAGGCTTTTTAAATAACATCAGTGATGTTAACACTCTAATGTGTCTGGATATGAAACGATGAAAGAAAATCTAGTGCCTTTTTGGTGTTTCCTGTACGAGGGCTGCCTGTGGAGCTGGTTTACAGCTGCTTTTTTTTTTATTTTTATCACTGCTTCTGTCTCCTTGAACCCCAGTCGGCCGCGGTAGATGGCTGCTAACACTGAGCCTGGTTCTGCTAGAGGTTTATTCCTGTTCAATAAGAGTTTTTCCTCTCCACTATCACCACAAGCATGCTTGATGTGAGGGATTGCCTTCGAGTCATTAAGTCGACGCAAACAGCTGGTTTTCCTTAAATAGAAAACTTTGAATCAATTTGATAGGAGGATCTGGTTGAATTGTATAGTGCCTTGAGATGACGTGTTGTGAATTGGTGATATATAAATAAACTGAATTGAATCTTAGAATTATTTAAAGGCACAGGACAGGATGTTATGAGTACATATTTGACACAAGGTTCTCATCCAGATATTTTAAGAACAGAAGGGATCAAATAACTATCAGGATCAAATCTTAAACTGTAAGTCTGGTTTTAACTAGATCAGTGGTTTCACTTTTAGATGTTACTGTCAACCAACAATGGATTTTTTTTTTTTTTTTTTTAAATCTCTTCTACCTGTCACAGGGAAGTCACATGAGCATGGTGAGTCATGGAAATTCCCTTTTGCATTAAGTTGACATAGGCTTTAAGAAATTGGCTTCAATAGTTGAAGTCTGGTTCTGACAAATATAATAAATCTTTTAATTTGATTAGTATTAAAATGAAAAAAGGGTCTATAATGTAAGTTTCAAAAACCCAGTAACTGTCCATCACATTATTGCATCACTTAGGGCTTGTATTCATTTGAGCAAGTGTAGAAATAAGGAATGTTGGCAAAATATAATTAGGGCAGCAACTAACGATTATTTAGCAAATCAATGAATCTGTCAATAATTTTTTTGATGAATCGATAAATAATCGGGTTGCCAAAGGTTCCTTAAAGTAGATTTTTTTTTACCATATTAAAACAAGAGAAACTAAAACGTTTCCATTTGAGGAGTTCTGGATAGAGAATATTGACAGACGTAATATATTTTATCTTAAATGCAAAATGTTTTAATATTTTCTTACAATTTTGATATACCTACTGCTCTAAGTGGGTCGCTCTGTCAGCTAAAGGCATGTTTGGCATGACATGGCTGTACTGTCAACAAATGAAGAGATGATTGTTTACTTATCTCTCTCGCATCCCAGTTACATAATTGTTTTTGTTATTATTAGGGCTGCAGCTAACGATTATTTTGCAAACTGATTAATCTGTCAATCATTTTTTTTTCGATAAATAATCGGATAGCCAAAGATTCCCCAAAGGAGATTTTTTATGAACGCAAACCAGGTTAAACTAAAACTTTTCCACTTGAGAAGTCCTGGATAGAGCATATCGACAAAGGTATATATATATATATATATATACATTTTTTTTTCTTTTTTTTTACCTTAAATGCAAAATGTTTATATATTTTTCACTATCTTGTTACACTATCTTGTTATAATCACAGCTCTAAATGGGTTGCTTATAAATAAAGACATGTTTTTGAGACTCTATACTCCAGTAACGATTTATCGATTACTAAATTAGTTGATGATTATTTCAATCAATTCATCAATCAATTAATCCGATTACATTGTTCAGCCCTATAATCCTTTAACAAGTTCACATATATTTAGAAGCCTGAATTGATTTTTAGAAGCCTGGAATAAAAATTTTTATCTTCAATGCAAAATGTTTATATATATATATATATATATATATATATATATATATATATATATATATATATATATATATATATATATATATATATATATATTTATTATTTTTTTTTTTTTTACAATTTTGATATGATAACTGCTCTAAGTGGGTTGCTCTGTCAGCTAAAGGGAGGTTTTAGAGTATACTCCAGTTAATAATTAAATAATTGCTAAATTAATTGAAGATTATTTCAATAATATATTAATCACAATTAATCTAATTACTTCTTTCAGCTCTATATATAATACACCTTTTGCTGTAATGGCACCTTAATCAGCAAATTTTCAATTATAGAGCGTTTATTAAAATTTACTTTAGTAAAATCAAATAAGGAAGGAGTCATTTAAATAAAATGCCTTTTATTCCTGACAGTTCACAGCGTCATTCATAATAAAACCAACAGTAAAAGGCGACAGGCAGGATGTTGTTGAAGTTTCCTCCTCTGCTGCTGCTGCTGCTGCTGTTGTTGTTGTTGGGCCTCGGTCATATGACAAGGACAGTTCACATCACCGCCCCCGCCTCATGTCTATATGCGCGTTGGTTCACTAAAAATAAAATAGTACCTTGAAAAACTTTTCAGTGAACACAAAATCTCATTTAATTGTATCAAACCACAAAATTAATAGTTAAATTTTACTAACTGTCGGTTTTATTGGCAAGACGACATACTGAGTTACACCCTACGAACTAGATTCCTCTCATACGTCATTTTTGTTATTGTATCCCTGCGCCACTGGAAAAAAACTGCTGTGACGGGCTAAAGCTAGCTAGCATTGAGTGTGTTTGTGTCAGAGCTTCGAGTTGATTCTTTGAACGGGAAACACTAGTCGGTTTTAAACATTGAGTGGCCGACTTGTCGTCTGTCAACTCTTTCAACAATGAAGTTTCAATACAAAGAGGAGCATCCATTCGAGAAGAGGCGGTCTGAGGGCGAGAAAATAAGGAAGAAGTACCCGGACAGGGTTCCAGTAAGTGGCTAACATGGTAGCTTTACTGCTCCGTGTGACGGAGGACACGGGTGTATTTAAGATGTAGACATTTTAAAGATGCGAATAAAAAAACAAAACATTTAATGGACAGACAAAGCGACTTAAACATATTTCTATTGGCAGCTAAGTCACTTTTTGACTGCCATGGTAGTAAACACGGTGGATAGCCTGAGACGAAAAAGGTTATCTCAGTTAACAGGCCAGGTTGTCAAGCTAGCTTCCTGTAATTCCGCTTTATTTTCGTGTATTTATACTTTTAAATAATCATATCGCAGTAAAATTGCCAGTAAGCTAACATAGTTTATTTAAGTCTGAACTTTGTGTTTAATTAAGTATTTACATGTAAAGATTGTATTTAATTTTTTTCTCATAAAAGGTATGTTAAAGCTTTTTTGTCTTTTTTGATATACATTAGGTTCTATTGTCTGCTTGTCTGCTCTTTTTTAAACTAATCCTAACCGAACAGGAAGATCAGGTTAAAAGCTTCAGATGACCCTTAATAGATTATCCGGAATTTTACATTAGATCCTAAAGTCTAGTTTCTCATATCATTCTGGTGGCATGTAATAGTATATATATATATATATATATATATATATATATATATATATATATATATATATATGTAGACCAGTCCATTATTTAATGTCATATTTGAGACCACATATCGATTAAGTACAGTTTAGCTGCAGATGATAAATTTATGTAGAATAATTAATAATTAAAGTTTTGCCAGAATAGATTCTTGTTGGCTCTTTGGATTGGGGTGAAGAAAACATTTGAATTAACCAGACTTATGCTATACTTAGTATAACATGAAGCCAGGTACCAGATCACAGTGTGGTTGTCAAGTACTTGAGCTTCTGTTAAACAATTCATCTTAAATCAAATATTAAGGTAACAAACAAGAAACGCACACAATTTATATTTGGTGAATAGTAGTTATTGTCAAAGAATACAAAAAAAACATGTTTAGGTTATAAAATTACAAAATGTATGATTGCTTTAGAAATTGCTTGGGTATGTTTAGTAAACACTTCAATAAATGTTCAATAGTTTTTAAAAGTGTCAGTTAATTGAGTTATTCTCCTCTACTAGAGAATACAATGTTTTTAGCGTAAGAAACACCACAGGATGTAGCCTGCTTTAACAATCTAATCGATTTTTTTAAAGTACTTTAAAATTTTGAATTTTTTTTTCAATTCAGAAAAAAAAAGCTTTATTTGTTTTGGTGATAAGCTGCTGCACAGACAAGCAGGCTTCTTAAAGAAGATATGCATACATATTCAACATAGATTTTTTTTTTATATTACCTGAATTTTTGGTTTATTTCCATACATATAATTTTTTATATAAGGAAGATCTGCTTGTTTTTAGATTAACCAAATATTTTTAGAACAAAAACGTTTAACAATTAGCTGTTTTCTGTTAGCTATGTCACTAACCGGTACAAAGAAAGGATAGAAAACAACATTTTGGGTACTTCTATGGTATCAATGAAAGTTCTCAACTCTGTATCTCAAAAAAAGGAAATAAAATGACTGCTTTCCTAAAACAGGGAAGCTAATAAACAAAGCTGCACATCATGTGGTTTAAGCACAACTACAGCTACAAACTTTTAATTAACGTTCATTCTAACCACATCACACCCGGTGTGAAAAGCGAACTGCTTTCGTCGAGTGTTATATATTTGGAGTCTTTCAAATAACTATTCTGTAGGGTGGATTTATTTATAATTAAACTTATTTAAGAATCAGTTGATGCCAGATTAAAAATGTTTGGGATATTTTTGATAAATATGTCTCTTTCTGGTTGTCAACCTTAGCTACCGTCAACAACCTGTATTTAGATTATTTGAAACCTTGCCTGACCACATGTTTGGTCATTCTCAGATCCTTTTTTTTTAAACCTGTGGTCAAAGTACTTTGTAAACACTCTGCTCAGTGGTGAAGTGATGATTCATTGATTAAGAACATGTTGTGCAAGTTATTTTTTTCCTTTGCTTCTTTAGGTTATTGTGGAAAAGGCTCCTAAAGCCAGAATAGGAGATCTGGATAAGAAGAAGTACCTTGTCCCCTCTGACTTGACAGGTAATCACTGCGCTTAAGCTGCGCATGAGTTAGATTTGTGGTTTCAACAATCTTATATTCTTTTATGTTTTTTTTTCTCCAACAGTGGGCCAGTTTTACTTCCTAATCCGGAAAAGAATCCACTTGCGAGCTGAGGATGCTCTCTTCTTCTTTGTAAACAACGTCATTCCACCCACCTCTGCCACCATGGGCCTGTTGTATCAGGCAAGACTCACCACATGTTTTGTGACTCAATGAACTCATCTTCATTCTATTGTTCCGTTTAAATTAAATAAACCCATCACATTTTTGAACAACATTTAAACATGTGTTTTCTTTCTGTTTTTTTTTTTTTTTCTCCTCAGGAGCATCACGAAGAGGACTTTTTCCTCTACATTGCCTACAGTGATGAGAGCGTGTATGGAAGCAGCCAAAGGGAAATCTGATCTCCTTTCCACCACTTCCCATCTTCCCCGGACCTCCACCATCTATTCATTCATTTAAATATTAAATATTAAATCCAGCTCTGCAGCCTAGACTTCCCAGAATAAACATGTCAGTTGCACTTTCATCTCTACAATACATCACTGCATTCTCAGTGAATGTGTCTTTATTATTCTGCAGTCTGAATTGTATTTCCTCCACTGTTCAATAGCTATTCTAATTCTGTGGCCACTTTGCCAGTTCTTTTTTTTCTAGCGTCATAACTGATTAGTTTGATGGTAGAAAGTGGAAAGGAATGGATCTAATAATCTTAGAATGCAGCTGTTATTGTGGTTGCATCAAGTGTAAAGGAAGGAGGGCGGATTATGTTGATGATAATAGTAACGCCCAGTTTTAGTCAACCTGCTTGGTATAAAGGTATTCTGAGTTTAGGTTAGGATTAATTTTTTCTGATGGTGTGAAAGGATAACTTTCCCATCAGCGTTTTAAGTAAGAAATTCTGAAACAGTGAAGTTGTCCTTTAATTCCGCGCGCTAATAAAAATGTGAGAATATATAATGTACCATCCCGCATCTGATCGTAGGAGTAAGATAGAATTCAGACTACACAATCATCCTCTGCTTTCAGTGGTATGACTGTTTTGTTGGCTGCTTCTATGATTAATGTTGTTAATGTTCATTTTAGGTTGCTTACTTTCTAAAGGTATTGTAAAGCCGAGCGCAATTTCTTCTTTTTTTTTAAAGTTTCTTTTTTTTAATGGAAACAGTTTAAACTCTGTATACGGCTACATTACTGGCTATTTCTCTCCATTACCATACGTGATAAAAATGTAATGAAACTCAATTCTTGTTTCTTTATTGAATTTAATTTGAAAGAAATGGCAGACTTTTAAACCCCGGTTTAGATGTTTCTATATTTACTTGCTGGAGTAATGAGTCCCTCTTCTTGTTTTTTTTTTCATTTTGGTCTTGATGCCAAGTGGGATGAATGATGGAGGTTAAGCAGGCTCTAAATCTTAACAGCTGTAAGATGTTTTGCTGCAATCTAGTGTTTATCATCCAGACCATACAATAGTAAGTGCTGCACTAATTAGCAGATGTGAGCCAATTGCGAAAGGGTTAGGGTTAGAAAGAACATCTGTTAACTTTGTTGTAGCATTAATATTAAATAATTGCTTTAATCACAATGAATTCTTCACTACTGATCCAGATTTTATCTTAAAAGGGTCTAAACGGAAAAATGAATTCTGACAATGTTTTTGTTGTAAGGCAATAAAAATTGTCTTCATTTAAACCACCATTGTGCTTTGCAGGGAGCATTTAGAGGCCAAGGACCCAGAGTGGCAAAATGTGGGCCAGTGCCACTTAGAACAAACCTTGGGCCCTGTGCAGAAAAAATTTTTTTTTCTTCGCTTGAGTGTATTTTTCCTTGATTTAAGCAGTTATGCAATACAATTTGCCCCCCAAAAAAAACAAATTTACATTTAAAATAAAGAAACTCCATTATTACAAGTGCTTCATATCAAAATGTATTGATAGGAGTGGCGGAGTGGCGGCCTAGCATGGGGAGTGGCGGCCTAGTGCTTAGGCCATTGGGCTTTGAATCCTGAGGTTGTGAGTTCGATCCCCCACTCCCACAGACTGCCACTCTGGGTCCCTGAGCAAGACCCTTAACCCCACACTGCTCCCCGGGCGCCTCACAATGGCAGCCCACTGCTCCCCAAGGGGATGGGTTAAATGCAGAGAATTAATTTCGTTGCTCTGTACTTGTGACAGTGGAATGACAAAAAGTTGAATTCTATTCTATTATAATGGCAAAAATAGTTTCCTTTGGCAGATCATTTCATGTACAGAAATTAAAGGAAAATTCTGTTATTTTGACAAAGTTTTACTCAGGATTGGTCTTTAGTGTAATACTAAATTTCTTATGATAAACTGACCACCCTTTGACCAACTTGATATTTTGTGTTTACGATATACTTTGGCAATTATTTAAAGATTACACCTAGCTTTAAGCTTCAGTTGTATTAAAATAGGAACAACCTTTTCATTTGATAGATCAGGAATCTGCAAACTAGGGTTTGTGGCTTACATTAATATCCTGAACTATGCTTTCTTCCCCTGTTTCTTTTTTGGTATTTGATATTTTTGTTATGTATCTATGACCTATGAAAAAAAAAGCTTAGTTTACAACCACCACTCTCCATGTTTATATCCAAGAATTTACTCTTAAACCAGAATTTCCACTTGGAGGAGGGCTAATTAGTGAAAGGAAAATGTTGCCTGACTAAAGCAATACCTTTGCTTCTTTCTCCTTGAACCCCAGTCGACCTCGGCAGATGGCCGCTCACACTGAGCCTGGTTCTGCTGGAGGTTTCTTCCTGTTCAAAGGGAGTTTTTCCTCTCCACTGTCGCCAAAGGAATGCCTGATGTGAGGGATTGCCTTCAAGTCAATGAGTCAATACAATCAGCTGGTTTTCCTTAAATAGAAAACTTTGAATCAATTTGACAGGATGATCTGGTTGAATTATAAAGTGCCTTGAGATGACGTGTTGTGAATTGGTGAAGGGAGTTTTTCCTCTCCAATATCGCTACAAGTTGGTTGCGAATTGGAACTATATAAATAAACTGAATTGAAATTAAAGCAAAACTGATTGTTAAACACAGCCTTCCTTGTCACACACACATTTGTCTATAAGCCATATATAAGTGAAAGAAAAGCACAGAGCGGCATGAATTTTAGGGGGAAAAATATATTTTTGCTCTTATTCATGTGATTTAGGGATATGGTATCTTGGACATTGTGTTATAACTTAAAATTCTATAAGAAAAAAAAAACATCAGACACACACTGAGATGAAACGCTGGTACCAAAGTGGAATGTAATTATTTTCCCAAAATCACTAAATCATTTATACTTGAGGTGTCATATTTGCTGAACAAAAAGAAGTATAGTAAATATAGAATGTTATTCCACCATTAGGTATATTGCAAACTGTCTTATGAGTCTATTTTTGTGATTATGTTTAAAAAAAAAAGTGAAAGTTGCCCAACTAAGATCAACTAAGACATTTAGCTGTGCGTGCATTACCATACACTTATGGCTCTGTAGGGGGCGCTAAGCGCCACGGTGCCGTTACCAACTGTTTGAAAAAAGAAAAGAAGAAGTGGATTTTATACTATTTCCGCTTTGAAACGCTAAAAACAATTGATATCTAGGTTCTCATCAAACGCATTGCAAAACGACAAAAGTAAGTATTTTTTTTTTTTATTATTTTAGTGCTCTTTAAAACTGAGGTCAAATAGATGCGACACTATCAGAGGGGCTACGTAGCTTCGCAGCTAGCTAGCACCTCTAAAAAAATATATTCCCTTTTTCTTTCCGTTGAAGGAAAGCGTCATACATCAAACATACTTATGATACTAATCAAAAGCAATTGGCTGTATTTTAAACGCCCCTTTTTTATTTATGTGCTTTTGTAACTGATTACAACCGGTGCGTGGAGTGTTAGCTTAGCATGTAGCTCATCGCCGCATTTTAGCCAGGCTTTCTGAGCATTTACCAGTTTGTCAGTTTGCCTTTAGCCTCTACCATACATACAATGTCATGTTTGAGTAATGATAATGATAAAAAGAGTATTAGTTAAACTGAACTATTATTAAACCGAACTTTTATTAATGACGAAGTTATTACAAAGTTAACAGTATAGTTCACATTTATAGCATTTTCTATTACATATTATACCAGGACTGAAATGAAACTCCTTTTGTACTTAAAACTGCCTTATTAGAAGGATATAAATTGCATAGAGAAATTCACATAGTTAGCAACATGATTTTAGAAGAGTATGGAGACACAATAGTCACAGACAGTAAAAAACATTAATAGATACACTAATAAATGGATACGGATTTACATAATTGATGTGTAGTAGGCATTTATGCAGTTATGATTGCGCATTTCCAATAAAAAATGTGCTGTACCCTATTCTAGGTGGGTGTAATAGTTATAGACAACAGATCCTAACCACTAAACCATTTGGGATGTGCACTTTTTTTGTCTAATTTCCTCCACAGCTCACCAATGACAAGCCATACTTTTAGTACATTAAAATACAGTAATGTTTTGCTGTATTCACAGCTGGCCCCTCCACTGCCTGTCACCATGCCCGCCCTGCTGGAGAGACCGAAGCTGTCCAATGCGATGGCCAGAGCCCTGCACAAGCATATTATGAGGGAGAGGGAGCGCAAGAGACAAGGTAAAAATAAATTAGTATGGAGCTATGCTGGTTGGAGAACCATTGCAGAACCAAAAGTTGCAACAACATGTCAGATGACTGGAGAAGCGTCTACTGAAAAGTGCACATGGAGCATTCACTGAAACAATTAAGCCAGGATTGTAAGCATTGAAGAAAGTTGATATATGTATTGTAGAAGGAACCTTCCTGTAAAATAGGTCAATACTTTCTCATTCCAAAACCCTGTAAAATACTTATCTTGTCTCAACAGCAATATGGGATTTCTGTAGCGTTGACTGCAGTCTTTACATGTACGAATTAAGACCTTTATTTGGCTGGTTTAAAAACCATTTAAATTTTGTGCTGGACCCTTCCCATTAGAGATCGATAGACATGGGGTTGTATTTTCTTTATTTAAGGTCAATAATTATTTTTTCATTGGTCTAACCAAGGAGTCTGAAACCTTTACAATCCAAAGTGCCATTTTTATATTCAGTCCATTATTTGACCTTTAAAGGGATAGTTCGGGATTTTTGACATGAATCTGTATGGCATCCCCATCACCAGTGTCATGCAATCACACTGACTTACCCCTGGCAGCGTCCTGTGAGCAGAGTTCTCGTCCAGCTTTGGTCAAGCCGAAAGTAGTCCGGCAGGTTTGCTAGACCCAGCGAAATAAAACGTTTCTCTTCCCAAAACATTATGTGTTCAAAATAGTGATATTTTTGCATCCCAAAAACATTGTAGTGGAAAAAGTCACACGTCGTTATCACTTGGTCCTATTTTCTCTCTGTTCGTATCAGTGCGCGCCGTCATTCTGACAGCGAGCTCAACTTTGAGGAGGGCAGGGAAGTCGCTGTTGTTTGTGATGCAGACAGCAGCTGCTGTCTGCATCAATAGAATAGAATAGAAAATTCATTTATTGTCCCACAGTGGGGAAATTGTGGTGTTTACGGCAGCAAAGGTTATTGTAGAAGTGGCCACACAATGTGCACCCTAGAAAAATGACAGATAGGAAAATAAAACAGAGTATAGTACTGTTCGTTGTTTTTACAATATAATAACCTGTATCTGGAGAATAAAAATCAGTTACAGCTGTGCATGTTTTTACAGTAATGGATATATGGAAAGTAGCAGTAACACCAGAGAAAAAAAAGAGAATGAAATGACAGCAGCATGTTATTTAACTGACTAACACAGAAAGTGTACAAAAATCAGCATGAATGTAACAACTTCTTGAGGTTGTTGGGAAAATTGATGGTTATAAAGTCTTCCAGCTGCTGGCAGGAAGGATCTGTGATAACGCTCTCTGGTGCATTTAGGGGGCAGCAGTCTGTCACTGAAGGAGCTTTTCAGTTCAGCAACAGCTTCTTGCATGAGATGGGAGACATTATCCTACAGGGATGTTACTTTAGTAAGGGTCCTTTTTAGTGCTGTCAAAATTATCGCGTTATTAACGCGTTAACGCGAGGCCATTTTAACGGCGATAATTTTTTTAACGCGAGATTAACGCTATGTGGTTTTATGGTACAATTTTCCAAGTGCATCCCGCTGCAGCCTGCGGGAAGGCGGGGCTATTTTCCCCCAGTCTATGCATTTCTTATAGGCTTCCAGAGCGGAGCTCCTCAAGGAAAAAAGACGCTCATACACTGGGTGGCGCTAGTGCCTTTTCTTTAAGCCCCACCACCAACAAACAAGTTGAGTGTCTGGTAACTAGTAGCAACCTGAAATACGCTGAGAAAACAGATTACTGAGGTGAAATGGAATCTGCTACGGCACTCTTGTCGGTATCGTGTGTGTGTGTGTGTGTGTGGGTGGGTGTGTCTGTGTGTGGGTGAGTGGGTGTGTGTGTGTTCTCATTTTTGTTAAGAGGCTGAAAAGTAACTTTCTAGAGAGCATAGACTACCTTCATCTAGTGATGTTGGTCTATTGATTTTGATGTATTGATTGAAAATTGTTCATTATTACCTTGGTTAATTAACATCTAATGTTAATTCTACTAAATTTTATAGCAGTAGGGTAAAATGCTTGTCTTTGTTCAAAAGACTGTATTAACTGTAAAGACTGTCTTTTACATCAGCCTGTTTTCAGGGCCTTTTTTTTGGCTACATATTTGTTATTTTTTGCTACATGCCTCCCCATCTTCTTGCCATATGTTTCTATGGCATAAATCAGTATCTGTGACCTGTTTTCATTTTAAAAAAAGAACATTGGCACAAACCTAGCCTGTATGTATTTTTTTGTATGTCATCCAGAGTATTTAAATGATTTTCAATCAGGAAAAAAAATGTGCGATTAAAATGCGATTAATCGCGAGTTAACTCAGGCATTGATGCGATTAATCGCGATTAAAAAATTTAATCGATTGACAGCACTAGTCCTTTTGTTTCCCACCTTCTGCACTGAGTCGATGGCAACCAATCACAGAGCTGGCCTTCCTGATCAGCTGATCCAGCCGCTTTCTCTCAGCTACAGATAAGCCACTGCTCCAACAGCCAGCTCCATAGAAGATGGCTGATGCCACAACAGAGTCATAGAAGGTCTTCAGTAGTGCCCCTCACTCCCACAGACCAAAGTCTCCTCAGCAGGAAGAGTCTGCTCCTCTTTTCTTATACAGAGCCTCATTGTGTTGAGTTCATTCCAGTTTGTTATTCAGATGAACACCTAGGTACTTATAAGAGTCCACGATCTCAATGTCCATTCCCTGGATGTTCAGTGGTGTCAGTGGGGTGGATCTGCTTCTGCAAAATTCCACCACTAGCTCCTTGGTTTTCCCTGCATTATTCAAGAAGAAAACTTACACAATTCTCAATATCTACTAAAGATTTATGTTTTTTTTATTTTTATAATTGCATTGGTATTTTACATTTTAGATTTAAAATAAGGTAAAAACCTACAATAAGAGAATAAATACATTTATACTGGGTCGATTACATTTTTGGAAACCCTTGTAAAATAAATAAATGATAAATAGAAAAAAAACCCAAAAAGCATTTTTTCTACTTAAAAGAAGAAGATCTACAAGTATATTTTGACTGAGTCAGTTTATTTTGGAACTTCAACAAAATTTGTCAATGGAAAATCCTAACCCGCTGTTGTTGGTATATCTGTTTTCCAAAGATTAGCTGGCTCTTCATCATTTTTAGCAAAAGTGATAAAGAAAGTTACACAAGTCTCAAGTTAAACAAATATGAACCTGTATTAACAAATGAAAGGAAATTTTAACAATGGATCGCAAATGGAAAAAGTGGCAACTAATGCGTTTTTATATGATACCAAGGCATGGATCCTGAATGCGCTAATTAATTTGTTAGTGAATGAAAGCAAGAAAAAAATCGCTACTTCCTACAGGTTTCCTTTATTTTATTTGTTTATTAGAGGCTGTAGAATTTTTAGGTGAGTTTTTCTGACTGTATGAAGCTGAATAAGTGTTCAGCTGTTTAACCATTTGGCTGTTTTCATTTTTTTCCATGAATAAAATCTTCCCAGTGAAGAAAAGTTGAAGAAATTTTATTTTTTTTACCTTATTTTCAATTATTTCCAACTTTATATTTTTATTTTTTGAGCCTAAAAATTAATTTCAATTTTCTTTTTAATTAACTCTTTAAATCCTGTCTATCCAATGTTATTTAGGCTTCTAAATATATGTGAACTTGTTAAAGGATTATAGTAGGGCTGAAAAATGTGATCGGATTAGTTGATTATTGAAACAATCATCAGCTAATTTACTAATCAATTAATTGTTAACCGGAGTATTGAGACTCTAAAACATGCCTTTAGCTGACAGAGTGACCCACTTAGAGCAGTAGTTATATCAAAATTGTAATAAAATATAAAAACATTTTGCATTTCAGATAAAAAAATGAAAATAATATAATAAATAAACTATGTCTGAACTCCTCAACTGGAAAAGTTTTAGTTTCACCTGATTTCGTTTAATAAAAAATCTCCTTTAAGGAACCTTTGGCTATTCTGTTATTATTCGCCTAATAAAAAATAGATAAATGGACAGAATAATCGATTTGCAAAATATTCGTTAGTTGCAGCCCTAGATTATAGACTGTTAAAACAACCTGTTTTAGCTGAAGCACATTTGAAATTTGAGTCAGCTCTTGAGTTGAAAAAGCTTTTAATTTTTAATTTATTTATTTTTTATTAAAAAAAATGATGTAGATAAAATGAAGCAATTTGTGTCAATGTGTATCAATATTCTTAAATGTACCTTTAATTACATTTGAATTCATTTTGTTATAAAACTACAAAAAAAAATCAGTACCATTCGGAATATTTTTGCATCTCCAAAGAGTAGAAGTACAGGTCTGAGTTTAACTCACCCCGGATATTATCTTTCTGCTAACATTGTCCTTCGTTATAAACACATTTTACCATTCTATCAACAATTAGTACAGTATTTTATATATTTCTCACCAGTATAAGCAAACATCAGCATTTTTAGTAAGGTGTTTTTATAAGCAGTGCTGATTATATTGGTTATAAAAAAATAAAGTAATCCATGAAGGGTTCACTTTGCACAAGAGGTTTCTGTTGCAATGATTATGAATTTTTTTCCATTTTTCAGAGGAAGAGGAGGTTGACAAAATGATGGAGCAGAAGCTGAAGGAAGAGGAGGAGAGGAAGAGGACAAAGGAGATTGAGGAGAGGATGTCTTTAGAGGAAACCAAGGAACAGGTGCGTTATCTTTGATGTCTTCTCTCTGGTTATACAGGTGCTGGTCATAAAATTAGAATATCATGAAAAAGTAGATTGATTTCAGTAATTCCATTTAAAAAGTGAAACTTGTATATTATATTCATACATTACATACAAACTCATATATTTCAGATGTTTATTTTGTTTAATTTTGATGATTACAAATGACAACAAATGAAAATCTCAAATTCATCATATCAGAAAATTAGAATATTACTGAAGACCAATAAAAACAAAGGATTTATAGAAATGTTGGCCAACTGAAAAGTATGAACATGAAAAGTATGAGCATGTACAGCACTCAGTATTTAGTTGGGCCTCCTCTGGCCTGTATTACTGCAGCAATGCGGCGTGGCATGGAGTCGATCAGTCTGTGGCCCTGCTCAGGTGTTATGATAGCCCAGGTTGCTCTAATAGTGGCTTTTAGCTCTTCTGAATTGTTGGGTCTGGTGTATTGCATCTTCTTCTTCACAATACCCCATAGATTTTCTATGGGGTTAAGGTCAGGAGAGTTTGCTGGCCAATTAAGAACAGGGATACCATGGTCCTTCAACCAGGTACTGGTAGCTTTGGCACTGTGTGCAGGTGCCAAGTCCTGTTGGAAAATGAAATCTGCATCTCCAAAAAGTTGGTCAGCTGCAGGAAGCATGAAGTGCTCTAAAACTTCCTGGTATGTGGCTGCGTTGACCCTGGACCTCAGAAAACACAATGGACCAACACCAGCAGATGACATGGCACCCCAAACCATCACTGACTGTGGAAACTTTACACTGGACTTCAAGCAACATGGATGAAGTGCCTCTCTTCTTTTCCTCCAGACTCTGGGACCTTGATTTCCAAAGGAAATGCAAAATTTACTTTCATCAGAGAACATGACTTTGGACCACTCACCAGCAGTCCAGTCCTGTTTCTCTTTAGCCCAGGCAAGACGCATCTGACGCTGTCTGTGGTTCAAGAGTGGCTTGACACAAGGAATGCGGCAGCAGAAACCCATGTCTTTCATACGTCTGTGTGTGGTGGTTCTTGAAGCACTCACTCCAGCTGCAGTCCACTCTTTGTGAATCTCCCCCACATTTTTGAATGGGTTTTGTTTCACAATCCTCTCCAGGGTGCGGTTATCTCTCTTGCTTGTACACTTTTTTCGACCACATCTTTTCCTTCCCTTCGCCTCTCTATTAATGTGCTTGGACACTGAGCTCTGTGAACAGCCAGCCTCTTTAGCGATGACCTTTTGTGTCTTGCCCTCCTTGTGCAAGGTGTCGATGGTCGTCTTTTGGACAACTGTCAAGTCAGCAGTCTTCCCCATGATTGTGTAGCCTATAGAACTAGACTGAAAGACCATTTAAAGGCTTTTGCAGGTGGTTTGAGTTAATTAGCTGATTAGAGTGTGGCACCAGGGGCCATCAATTTTGAACCTTTTCACAATATTCTAATTTTCTGATATGATGAATTTGAGATTTTCATTTGTTGTCATTTGTAATCATCAAAATTAAACAAAATAAACATCTGAAATATATGAGTTTGTATGTAATGTATGAATATAATATACAAGTTTCACTTTTTAAATGGAATTACTGAAATCAATCTACTTTTTCATGATATTCTAATTTTATGACCAGCACCTGTATATGTATTTATTTTTTGCGGGCCAAGCTCCAAAAGATCTTGTAAAATGAATATGTTGTTATTTTCTTTTAACATCAGGTAATGAAGATGGAGGAGAAACTTCAGGGACTCCAAGAAGAGAAACACCAGCTTTTTTTACAGCTAAAGAAAGTTCTCCATGAGGAAGAAAAGAGACGCAGGAAGGAGCAGAGGTATCCTCTATTTGGGATGATTCATTCTAGCCTTAAGGTCTGTGCTTCACCAGCTTCTGATTTTCTTCTTCAGTGACATCACAACGTTGACCTCAGCCAGCTACCAGCCCAGTCTGTCCATGCATGCAGGACAGCACCTCCTCAGTATTCCAGGTGAGATGACAGAGAAACAAAACAAGACCACTTTTCCCCTCAATCTTCAATGTTTCCTTTGTCAAATGTTATCAGTTATGGGTGTTTATTTTATTCATTAAGAGGGGAAAAAAACATCCAAACCCATTTGGTTGAGTTACAGTAGGAAGCAACAATTGCCACTAAGAGTTAGGGAAGCAGCCCCACATCATCACACTACCACCACCATGTTTTATTATAGGTGCCATGATTTGTGCCATGATCATTTAATCTGTCGATTTTTTTTTTTTTCTTACAACATTAAACCAGGTGAAACTAAAACTTTTCCCCTTGAGAAGTTCTGGATAGATAAATGCTGACATATTTATTTTATAATTTTGGTATAGTTACTACTCTAAATGGGTCGCTCTGTCAGCTAAAGGCATGTTTAAAGTTTAATTAAATACTAAATTAAATACTAAATTAGTTGATGATTGATGATTGATCCAATTACTTGTTTCAGCCCTAGCCTTGAAACTCCAAGCAAATGTCAGTTCATCTGGGTCTCTTTCTTAGCAAATCATAACTCTTAAGGGAAGCGTGAGGCGCTTCAGCTCCTGGATGAGTCCAACTCAAGCTTTTAGAGTAATATTGGAAAGGTTGTTGTTCATCGGGGGATCTTAGAAGCAATTTTCTTACAATATTTTCAGACTCTAAGGCCTCGTCCACACGAAGTCAAACCCTGGCCTAAACGCACAAATTTTTCACCAAACCAGCCTCTCATCCATACGAAGCCGGCGTTTCGAGGGTCTGTAAACGATCTTTCTTTTATTAAGCCTTCAGAGTGGGAAGATTTTGAATCGCTGTTTCGCGTTTCCATCTTTAAGCTCTAATCGCATTTTTTTTTCTTACACGCATGCGTCATAGCGTTGCCTCTAAACACGCATGCGCGACACAGTATCACAACAACAATGGCGCCGTACTGTGTTGAATGGTTGCTGCTCATGCTACTCACTCTGCTGTCGGGCTTACAACAGAATCTTCTTCTTCTGGAATATCTCCAGGAAGAACAGAGCAATATAGACGACGTAGTTCGGCACCTGAATTTGACTGAACCACTTAAATGGACCCGCAGGGCAACCATGTATAAATATTAGTGCGCATGCCCAACATTTCGTCGCCTATTTTTGCTTTGGCACCACAGCGCCACTTACAGGCCTGGCATACATTTTGCAGCGTTTTCATGCATTCGTGTGGACGATCACATTTATTTTACGTCTCCGTCTTTACAACAAACGTTCTGGAAAATATTAGCGTTTCGTGTTCGTTTTGACTTCGTGTGGACGGGGCCTTAGAATTCAGTTGCTCAGTTTATTGTCTGTTCTTGAAATCCTTTAGATCAGAATTATGATATATAGCTTTTCAGGATCTCTCTGGTTGGTTCTTCTAGGATTTTTTTTTTTATTGGTTCTAAAGATTAGGAAGTAATCAGGCCTGGGTCTAGCATACAAAATTCAGTCAAAAAAAACCAACAACATAAAACTGTCACACATAGTTGGCTTCGAAAACAGTTTTTACCGTATTTTCACAACCATAAGGCGCACCGGACTAAAAGGCGCAGTCTCAGTTATGTGTGCCATTTCTGTATTTAACACACACATAAGGCGCACCGGACTATAGGGCGCGTTTTTTATATACAGGTACATGTCCTCTCAGGTGGATTTTCCCACTTAAAAACATATTAAAACTACTTTATTCCCACTGATCACAGCAAATAAAGCTGCAAGGTGTATTTATTACAAAGTATTATTCAAACCTGGGAACCGGCTGTGAGAGACACATCGCTGATGACACAGGGCTGTGATTACTCCTCTGATACAGTTTATTGACGCATAAATTAACTTAAAAAATAGGCAGGATAATAATCTGAATGAACTGACTGCAATGATTAAATTTTCAGGTGGACATTCTCACTTAAAAAGATTTAGATTATTTAGATGAAAAAACACCTGCTGAGGTGAGTCCGGATGCGCCGCGGCCCAGAGGCTGCTGTTGAATTAAGTTTTCAGATAGAAAAATAGAGCGGGAGCAAAACTGAGTATGATTGTGCTTTATTCAAGTATTTATTACAGAGTATTAATCAAACCCCTCAAAGTCCTCATCCTCTGTTTCTGAATTAAACAGCTGCGCTAAATCCGACATGCCAGTTTCCCCTTCTTCTTCGTTTATTGACGCATAAATTAACTTAAAACATAGGCAGGATAATAATCTGGATGAACTGACTGCAATGATTAAATTTTCAGGTGGACTTTCTCACTTAAAAAGATTTAGATTATTTAGATGAAAAAACACCTGCCGAGGTGAGTCCGGATGCGCCGCGGCCCAGAGGCTGCTGTTGAATTAAGTTTTCAGATAGAAAAATAGAGTGGGAGCAAAACTGAGTATGATTGTGCTTTATTCAAGTATTTATTACAGAGTATTAATCAAACCCCTCAAAGTCCTCATCCTCTTTTCATCATAATCCGCCGGACGTCGCTGAGCAACTGTAGTCCTGGTCCGGATGGAAAAATTGCACCGTTTCATAAAACGGAAGCACCACGATGGACCTCCTTGAAAATTTTCAATTTTCATTTCTTCCGCCAGCTTTACTGCTTTTAGTCGAACAGTGACCGTTGAAACGCTGGCCCCACTCGTTCTTTGCTCCACGATCCACCGCTCGAGTCTTTCCTCCAACTCGGGCCACCTCGCCTTATGTCCGCAGAAACTCAGCTGTGTCTTCTTCACCAGTCGGAGTTCGTTTTCCAGCTTCCTCCACTTGCGAACCATCGATTCATTTATATTGAATTCTCTCGCAGCTGCTCGATTTCCATGTTCCTCTGCGTAGCTGATAGCCTTCAGTTTAAACTGGGCTTCCAGTGTTGTTAAGACAACAATGTTCTGCATAAAGCACATACCTGTTCTTTTATACACAAGCCACGCCCACACTTCCCCCTTTAAGGTTCTCACATACTCATGGTGGTCTCAACAACGTCCGCAGATAGGGCGCACCGCACCATAGGGCGCACCCCACATTTTGAGGGGAAAAAAAGACGTTTAGGTGCGCCTTATAGTCGTGAAAATACGGTACTCCCAACGCTCTGAAAACTGCATTCCCTGCTAGATTAGATTATCTTTGTCTGACATCAAAGTAAGTTTAATCTGGAATATTTAAGTGTGAGGGGGAAAAAAAAGCCAAATGAATGCATTAGGGGAGGGAAGAATCGATCAGTCTTGCTTTAATGCTCTGCTAACACTTTAGTTTAAATGGTTTTGCTCTGCCATGGTTTCTGCGTTCTCAGGAAGTCCGGTCAGCCACAGTCGACCTGGCGCCCTGCTCGGAGAGCGAAGCAAACAGCTGTTCCCAGCTTCTGTCATTCCAGTAAGTACAGAACTGGGGAGAACGAATGGTTTCACACACTTCACAAAGGAAGACAAGCTGAGCTACAATCTGTACAGAAAAAAAAAATAATCTGAAATGAAAAATGCAAATAAAATTATTTTATGTTTTTTTTTTAAGAAAAATTACTTTTAAATTCAGTTTTATTTGAAAAGAGGCCAAAAGTCTTTCCTTCTTTCACATCTTTAACCTCCTATCCCCCTCCTTGTTTAGGCCCGTCATTACCAGACCCCTGGGTTCAGCTCCAGCTCAGCAGAGCATGGACAGTTCAGCGGGAGCCAGGGGGTCCATGAGTCCTATGGGGTGGCAGCATCCCAGCACCCCTCCACCTACGCCCCCGGACCCTCGGTACCCGTTAGCTTCGCCAGCAGTTCTCAGATCAGAGGTAAAAAAAGCAAGAAACGGATTCAATCCTGACTGTGTGGTTTTGTTAATAATGTCATAACGGGCGTCTACCTCTTAGAGTAAATGTCTAAATGCAATAAATCACTGAGTGCATTTATGACATTTTAAAATTTGAAAAAGAGATGTTTGGTCAATATTGGCATTTGTTTGTTTTTTAGTATTGGCAACGGCCAGTACGTGCATGCATGTGTTGAGTCATTTCAGAAATACTTTATTTATGCTAAAGGGAAATTAAATTGTTTTAAATGAAAAAAAATTATTATGAAATAGAAATAAAGCAAATAGTGCATTCAGCAGCCACGCTTTTAGTGGAGCGCATGTATTGCTGCTCCCTGCATTTGCTAGCTTTTGTTAATGTTTAATTTGTTAATAGATAAATTAAGATTAAGATAAATTGAGGAAGAAGTTGCAATATCAGTCCCAAATTATCAGCAGAACATTTTCAGGATCAGTAGACTATTAAAATAAGAGGGACCAATTTTTAAAACCTTTTATCTGTTGATCCTGAGTTAAAAACAATGTTATTTTTTTTCTGTTTATATCCAGGGGCCTCTGCATTTCAAGCAATGCAGTACCTCCCTCACCAGCAGACTGGATATCCGGTTCACAGCCACTTCGCCTCCCAGCCTGGTAAGTCCTGCTGCATGTGTCACCCTGTCAGCAATATCAGCCGCAGCCAAGATGCATAGCAGGAAACAAATGTCCTTATTTAACAGAAACAAAACTGGCTTGCACCTGAAATGTAAAATATTGTATTTAGAATAATCTAAAAGTGAAGAACTAGTTAGAGAAAAGTAAAAGTTGGACATTTGTGCTTAACTGGATTGAGACTCTCCAGGTGACGTTTTTCAGGAGTTAGACCACTATCAGACGTTTCTTGGTCTTAGAGGCTCTAACCTGCTTGTCTCTCTAAGGGTACATCACTGGAGCATCGATACCCCTGCAGAAGCAGCTGGAACATGCCAACCAGCAGTCTGGCTTCACAGATGCAGTGAGTCCAGTTCGGTTCAGGTCTAAGCTTTTTGTATGAATCCTCTTGTTCTGTTTTAACTAGTATGTGCCAAAAGCCGCTGCTCTGACTCCAATGTTTACATCTTTAAAGGCCAGTATTATTTGTTTCCAAGGCATTAAATTCAATTCTGTACTGAAATCACCGTCAGCTGTTAAGAAATTAATGACTATAAAAAGAAAGATCTTCCCATCGTAGCAGTTTCTAAATACTTTGAAATTCGGCTCCTCCTTCCATTTCAGTCACTCCCATCTCAGCACATCACAACAATGCTGCATGCTGTCTACAACTTTTGTCTTAGCAGTATTGTATTTTTGTTGTCAAATACATATTGTCTAAATACAATAACGGTATTGGAAAATGGCAACTCGCGTTGCAATTGAACCTTTCTTGAACGATCGCACATCAAACACAAGAAGTAGGTTTTCTAAAGAACCAGGGTAAGTAGAACATATTTCTGCTTGGTGAGATATTTCCACTACACCTCATTGTAAAGCTGGGCACACCACAAAGGAGTTTGCTTATTTCTGGGATTTGGAATTAATGTCAAACTCCCGTTTGTCCACAAGCTGTCATCCGTAACCGTCAGTGACATTTTTAAAATGAAGTCCAAACATTTTGTTTTAAGAACCGTTTTATCGTTGGGGAGCTTATATCTACAGTAGTCACCCTGGCATCTAATATATTTATCTAATATAGAAGTAAGACTAATATATAGTCTTAGAAGTGTTACGAACTCAGCGGAGGGGGAGGGGGAGCTACGTCCAAGCAGCTGTTTTTGCTCAGCTGATTTGCTGCTGATTGATTCCCCAAGTACTCATTAATGACTCATAGCAGGGAATGATGCTATAACATCATCTATAAAGCTTAAGATGCTTATTTTACATGAAACTGGCCCTTTAAGATGCTTATAAGATGCCAAGAGGATTATTATTTTGATTGAAATCTGTTCAGCATGACTGTATTGAATATTAAACCAAGATGCGTTCATTGTTGTGGGTTATTGTACCTGTACGTCCACTTGACGGAAATTGACTCTAGTGCTTTGGTTCTGTGTCCTGTTTGGTCAGGGTGCTTTGAGGCCCCTGCACCCCTCCACTATGCACCCAGCTGCTCCAGGTCTGCTGCCCACACCCATGGTCCAGATCCCCACTGCAAAGGTATGGGTCCTATGAGCCACTTCCCCACTGTTTAACCTTATTTTGCTGCATCCTAGGAGGTGGGCCTCATGGATAGCAGCTGCAGAGGGGTTATAATTTTATAACTTTCAAGAGCTACTAGTTTCATCCTCTTCTAACATAATTCAGTTGTCAATCTAGGATAAATTGCTTTTTATTTACTTGGGAGTAGAAGCAAAAATATTTCTGTTTTTGTCATTTCCAAAGTGTACCGTCTGTGTTTTTATGTTTTTTTTTTTTTTTTTTTTTATTATCAGGCTCCGTTCCAGAGCTCCCCACAGGGTGCCGCTCGACACAACTTCCTAGGCCACAGCCAGAGTGGGCAGAGGTTCTACCCCCACAGCAAGTAACCTGCGACGACTTTCATCTTTTCTTCTTTTACGGCAACGTCACCACTTTGATGGTGCTGGAGATGGCATCGGAACCTCTGGTGCATCACTTTGGATTTAACAAAAAAATAAATAAAAACCTAGATTGATTTGTGCCATAATGATAATTTTTCAGTGTATATAGTATGAATTCTATACTCTCCTGGTTTTATTGTCTTTTAATCATTTTTATTTTCCCATAACTTTTAAAGAATAATTTGCAGAGCTGGCTACAGGCACAGGTAAACTCCCCATCCACATGATTTCTAACAGAAAAATTGTTAAACTTCATATCAGTTCAGAAAGAAGGAGCTTTTCTCTAATAGTACTGATATAATAAAATAAGCTACATTTCTAGGTTGCTACTGGATGCATCATGAATGATTGTTAGTAAAAAACCATCAAGCTGTCATACAGTGGATCAAATAATGGGTTATGCTAAACTTATATCGATTAGCGTAACCTTTTATTTTTGTATCTTTATCTCCCTAAGGCAGTATAGCTTATGTCATGGTGCCTCAGCCCAACTGTAAATGTGACCTCCAAGCCCTACATAACCTAAGGTCAGCTCTGTTCCTTTTAAACAAGGCTTATTTTGAAGCCTCTGTGACACTTTCGGTTTTAAACATGCACTGAACTCTTTTTGTATCAAAGCTTTCCTGTTTCCTCATCTAACAGTAAACGGATATTTCTAAGGCTTCAAGTGGATAAAACCACTGATGCTTGTAGACTTTGTCCAAACACAGAGATCCTACTGTAAAGCTCTTTCTTATTGAGTCAAGTTTCTTCTATCATCATCTGCAGCATTAACCGGCTCAAAGCATTTGTTTAATAATTGCTAAATAAAGAATGCAATCACACCCATCAATTTGCAATATCTTTATTTTTACTTTTTAGCTTTGTTGTGTATGATAGTCTAGAGATTGTGCACAGTTCAGGCTCACCATACCAACACAGCCAAACTATTAAAATCAGGCACAGATCCTGGATCCGAATCTTGAGAGCACAAAAAATTAAGTATAATTTCTTCCAGACAGCTCAATAAACAATGAACGCTAGCAGAGGAACCACATCTTTATGATCTCTCTGTCCTGTTTGGCAAATCTGAACAGAACCATGAAGATCTGGAGATGAAGCCCTTGGTTAATCAGAAGTATGTTAAAAGCTTGATCACAACTCATCCCTGATGGTAGCTAAACATTTAGAGATTCAATCAAGACTAAGGTAATATCATCTGTGTTATGTACACAATGCATTTAAACTTTTTCCAGATGTTTATTCAAGTTGTTTAGCTGAACTGAAAGACAGGACAGAAAGCGACGGAGAGACAGAAAGGGGAGGCAGTGTAGCACTGGACATGCATTAGCTCCCTCTTTTCTCTAGGCTCTATACATCTCAATTGCATCTGAAACAGATTTAGACAAGAGAGAAGAAATGATTGATGTCCAAACTACCGGTAATCATCTGCAGTTTAAATATTGCACAATCAATATGGATTAGAGAATGCATAAACTGATAACAGAAATAAAGGAAGCTAGAAGCCATATCAGGCCATGAAGGGAAACCTACAAACGATGATCAATAAAAGATTAAATCATTCGTGTTGGAGATGCAAGCCTAAAAACATTCAAATATATGCAAAGCAATGTCTATTGATTTGTTCTGTAAGATTCAAATAGTAACTGAACTTTTCCAGTCATAGAAAAAAAAAAAATTGGGATTCTGCAGTGCATTCATTTGTTGTGCAGCTTTTGGTATTTTGCATGTAAATCCCACACTTTTTCCTACTATTAATAAGCTTATAAAGTTTTTGCTGGAAACCTCATCACCTCTCTGGCCAGAATAAATACAATCCAGTCAAATTGATTAGTGTCCTCAGACCATAATTTTTAGAAAATAATATATATACTTTTCTGTATATAGAAGCTTAATGTTAGCCTGTTCGACAAGGTCAACAGCCAGTTTGTTTTAAAGGGATAGTTCGGTATTTTTGACATGAATCTGTATGGCATCCCCATCACCAGCGGCATGCAATCACACTGACTTACCCCTGGCAGCGTCCTGTGAGCAGAGTTATCGTCCAGTTTTGGTCAAGCCGAAAGTAGTCCTGCAGGTTTTTAGGTACAGCGAAATAAAACTTTTCTCTTCCCAAAACATTATGTGTTCAAAAGAGTGATATTTTCGCATCCCAAAAACGTTGTAGTTGAAAAAGTCACACGTCGTTATCAATTGGTCCTATTTTCTCTCTGTTCGTATCAGTGCGCGCCGTCATTCTGATATGTCTCCCTCCGCGGCGGAGGGAGACATGGCTGTTGTTGGGCTCGCTGTCTGAATGACGGCGCGCACTGATACGAACAGAGAGAAAATAGGACCAATTGATAACGACGTGTGACTTTTTCAACTACAACGTTTTTGGGATGCGAAAATATCACTCTTTTGAACACATAATGTTTTGGGAAGAGAAAAGTTTTATTTCGCTGTACCTAAAAACCTGCAGGACTACTTTCGGCTTGACCAAAACTGGACGATAACTCTGCTCACAGGACGCTGCCAGGGGTAAGTCAGTGTGATTGCATGCCGCTGGTGATGGGGATGCCATACAGATTCATGTCAAAAATACCGAACTATCCCTTTAAGTTTCATTGTACTGTTTGTACACAAGTTGTGTGTCCAAGTTTCAGGCATCTAACTGATCATTTCATTACTCCATCAAAAGCCAAATGTTTAGTCTCACCAAACTATAAATCTTCCCTGCAAAATAACGTTTACCTAAATATTAGTGCGTTTGTACGACGGAGTATTAGGGCCAGGCTAATTTTTTTTTTTTATTCAATTCAAGAATAAAGTAATAAAATTACAAGAATAACGTTGCAAAATTACGAGATTAAAGTCCTAATATTACGAGAATTAAGTTGTATTTTATGACAACTTTTACAAGAAGCTTTTTCTTCCCTATATTCATGTGAAGCTATACTTTGGCATCAGTTTGACAAATAAGGAAATCTTTTAGCACAGCAGCATCAAATTGGACAGAATGTCAAAGTGGACCCAGGTTGCTGTTTGTTGGTGCTGGTCGGCCATCATATGCTGGTCGGAGCTCGAATCTTTCTTTATGAAAATGGTTGTGGTATGAGAACTTTATTCTCGTTATTTTTCAACTTTATTCTCGTAATATTGTGACTTTATTCTCTTATTAGAACATTTTTTTCTAACTAATTCTCCTAATACTCCATCTTATGTTTGTTTAATTTTGATGCGTATGTGGATTGAAAAAACCCAAAAAGAACCATTCAGAGTCCCTAATTAATGACGTGTGTTCATGATTGTTTAATGTCATCTTCAACAGCTTGTTTCAGACCATTGGACCAACATATGCAAACATCAGAATCCTTGAATCCTAAAGACAGGCCTTTGCAGCTTGACTCCAACAGAAAAAAAAACATGGCTGCAGTTTATGGCACACATGCACCAACATTTTTCTCTGGCAGCTTTTGGGTCAGTTTCAAAGAGAGAAAATGCAGCTCTTTATTTACCTCCTCTGGCTTATTTACTCAAAGCTTTTATACCGACTGCAGCTTCCTCCTCCATTGCATTTAGAACAGTGATCTGAAATAATAGAGAGAGGAGGGTCAGGAGCGGTTCATCAGAAAGCTGCAGCAGAAAAGAACGGCCACAGATGCGACGGTACTGACCAGGATCTCCTCTCCGGCTTCATGTCTACTCTCCATTTCTTTTCCCAGGTCTCCCTCTGGAAGTTTTAGGTCCTCTCGCAGCTCTCCGCTGTCCTGGAGCAGGGAAAGGTAGCCTTCCTGGATCCCAATCAGCTGTGAAAGAAAACTGTTAACTTGTCATTTCTTCTGTTCTGTGTGTATTTGCACGGTAAAGGTATCAGCTAGCACATTGGATTTTTGCTAAATGAACAAATGCAAAACAGACATTGCTTCGGCAGAAATAATGTGACCAAAGGGACATGTTAAATCAAGGCATGTCCACTTATTAGCATAACAAGTGTCTACAACCTTCTAATCAGTCAGTGGGCCTGCATATAGGGCTACAGGTAGACAGTAAGTGCATTTCCAAAAACCATCAATTGGTTCCTAAAAAAAAACACAGCAACTAAAATAAAATGTATACTTTTCAAAAAAGAAGTTTTAGTGCTTCGATAAAGGTTTTTTTTTTTTTTTTTTTGTATCGAAATTTTAATTTTTTAAATAATTTCCAAAAAAAAACTGCAATGGAAAGACTGTTTTCACATCATGAAGGGTGATGGCACCCATTAGAGCCATGTCTGAAATATGGGTACATGTTTACATCCATGTGGTTGTCAGAGTTATTGTGTGAACAAATGTATTCACATGTAACTTTAACTGGATTTGTTAATGGAAATACTGCAATTGTGAAACTGCTTTTTCAAATTTAGCAGAATTTCGACAGTTTTGCCCACATTTGTAATAGAAAAGCAGCTACTGAGCTCTTTTGATAACGTGGTGTGTACCGCACTCAACATGGAACAGATGAAGCAAAGGAAAAATTGTCTCAGAGATTAGGAAAAAGTTAAAGTTAAAGGTAATAAGAACATCTCCAAGTTGCTTGATGTTCATGTGACTACAGTTTGACACATTATTCAGAAAATTAAGATCCATGAGACTGTAGCCGACCTCGCTGGACATAAACGCAGGAGGAACACTGATGACAAATCAAAGAGAAGAATAATATAGCTCAAGGATCATCAGTGTCAGATTGGATCATCCATCCTTTAAGCCAAAGTGGACTTAATGGGAGGAGACCAATGAGGACACAATTGTTGGAAACAAATCATTAAAAACAACAGATTGGAATTTGCCAAACTACATTTTGAAAAGCCACAAAGCTTCTGGGAGAATTTCCTATGGACAGGTGAGATAAAAATGAAGTTTTTTTTTTTTTTTACAAGGCACTAGAGCTCCATGCTCACTGATCAAAAATGAAACATTAAGAAAAGAACAGATGGAGGAGGCTCTGTTATGTTCTGGGGCGGCTTTGCTTTATCTGGAACAGGCTGTCTGGAATGAATTCTTAAAACTACCAAGGGTTTCAATAGAAAAGTGTTCTACCTAGTGTCAGAGAACTTAGTCTCAATGACAGATCACAGGTCTTCAACAGGATCATGAGCCAAAATAAAATGCCAGGAATGGCTAATAGAAGGACTGTTCAGTGGTGCAGTGGGTAGCACTGCTGCCTTGCAGCAAGAAGGTTCTAGGTTGCATGTTCTCCCTGAGCATGCAGGGTTCTCTCCGGGTACTCCGGCTTCCTCCCACAGTCCAAAAACATGACTGTTAGGGTTAATTGGCTTCTCTAAATTCTCCTTAGGTGTGAGTGTGTGCATGAATGGTTGTTTGTCCTGTTTGTCTATGTGTTGCTCTGCAATGGACTGGCTATCTGTCCCCGCCTCTCACCCGTAGACAGCTGGAGATAGGCACCAGTACCCCTTATGACCCAAGCAGGGATAAAGTGTGATGGATAGATGGACGGATGGATTTAGACCATATTAATGTTATTAACCGATAAGACTTCTTCGAATTTCAGTATGGCTTATCTTCCTTCAACTGCAGAAATCTATTTATATTATACTTAAGCAAGAATCTCAAAGTAGACGCTAATAGCCCATAAAAACATCATGAATTAAGTATTCATACTCCAGTGGTCCAGTTTTTGCACAACAGGTTTTCAGTAAAAGGATTTGTTCTCTCACCTGATAATCCATTCTTTTGATGTTGGGGACGTCCATGTTGTGGGTGGAGGGACAAATGTCTTCATACTTCTTACCGGAGAAGATGTCGATACCAACCAGGTGAACCTGCAAAGGGGTAGAACACACAAGCATTAGACAGTCTGCTGAGCAGGTGAGTGGATATAGTGTAACTTCATTGTTTTTAAAATCTGTGCCTGCAGCATGATTGATGTCTTAATAGAGATTGAATCATAATAACAGATTAATAGCAATGATTGATGAGAGGATTTAGAGAACATCGACAGATCCAGATCTCTTTCTGTCTGAGATCTTCTCCATGAGATCAGGAAAAAAAATTTTTTTGCTCTATACTGACGTAGCTCTATAATTGGTGTTGTCAACAGGATCTGACTGATTTTTTCAGAGGACATTGATTGTTGGAGGAGTTGGGTACCAGCTGGAGGAAGGAGTCTTCCAGCCTCATTACCCCCCGTTTAGAAGTTTAAGGGGGAGGGGACTTCTGGCATTGAGGTTCTTGGTGGTCAGCGGGAGATCAAAATGAACCATTCCTTCTTTGAGACTGTGAGATAAAATTTAAGGTAAATTTTTTTTTTAAGAGAAAAAAAATCCAACAACTGCTTCATAGATTTAAAGATTAGTTTGGAAAACAAAATAGAAGTAAAATTAGCTTCAAAATATATTTGGGAAAACTCCAATAAATTTAATTAAAAATAAATAGGTTATTTATTTAAATGTACTACAATTAGTATAATACTAAAGAACCTAACTTAAATTGTAAAATACAGAATGAATACTTAAGGGTATAGTGGAGGATGTTTTTAGAAATGGGCTCCTGCACGCTCTAGCACACTTTTAATAGGAGTTCTGTCTTGGGAGCAGGTACAGGGTTGTGCATGTTCATTTTTTTTTCAGAAATTCACAAAAATCCTCCTCTGGCAGATTTGCTTGTTGGTTATACTGTAAACAAAATGCCACATTAAAGGGGAAAACATGTTGAAAATAGTATTTATGATCTCATCTCTTTCTCAAGCTGGAACTTTAACAAAAGCTTGTCAACTTTGAAATTTGATGTGATTTAATCTATTTCTAAATAGCGAAAAAAATGGTTTTTGCTTCTCCATTTCTGTGATCTTGAATTTTGTGTATTCTTTACACCTTGGCGTGGCCGTGCTTGCCGGTCTTGGAGGTGGACATCTCAACGATCTTGCAGGGACGACCTTTGAGCACCACAAAGCCGTTCTTGCGCAGAGCAGAGCACTGCATGGGATAAGTGGCGGACGCACCAGCATCACCGGTCCGGAAGTCTAGGTCTGCATCGGCCATGACTGCTGCACAGGAAAAGCCACACAGGATATTCATTCACAATTCATCCAAACTCGGGTATCTTTAAGTTACTGCTGAATAACACAACTGATTTAGGCACTTATAAAAAAAAAGCCTTTAACTGGTTAATGTCTATAGATCTGTGTGCGATTATGAGTGCCTGTCGATTCCTCTGCTACAAAACCTGTCTCGCCGAAAATGGGCTGATTACCTCTTGACTACATGGGAAATAAACAGGAAACTACAGAGAAGCATAGATCTGCTAAAAATACATATATGTGTGGATGGAGCAAAAGATTAGGGTGAGGGCATGACGGCTTTCCAGCCTTGAAGACTTTGAGCTCATCACCAAAGAAAGATCATCAAAGAGAAAATGTGCAAAAAACTGGTTAGTAACCATGAAAAAGGCTGTCATGTTTAGATGCCAGTGAAGATTTTTCTAATTATTATTCAAACATGTGGATATGATCCTTAAAATTGATTCATACTATTGTTATATTAATTTTCTATTATCTTTTAAGAAATGCTGGTCTCAGTCCCTATCAGAATCCCACTTGTCAGTTAATTGAAAATAGTTTAAAACCTAAATCCTCCAGTGGACACAAATAGGCTAATGTTTGGCTAAAATGTACATTATTTAGCTAAATCCACTGGATCCAGATGTGGACTAAACCATCATTCAACTTAAGAACAGGGTCATAGTGGTTCAATGTTCAGTCTCTCAACTACTTCTATTAAATATGTTAATTTTGCATCCTGACATTGATTTTACTGACATAACTGTAGTTATATAAAAGTTATATATATATATATATATATATATATATATATATATATATATATATATATATATATATATATATATATATATATATATATATATATATATATATATATATATATATATATATATATATATATATATAGTTATAGTTTTCACCTGCTAGATCAGCAACCCAGTGGCTCTTTGGTTCACTTAATATGTTCATCAATAAACTGTTGCCCCATTTATACATATTTTCCTTTAGGTTTTCGCCCCCTTCATTTTTCATTTTCATTCTTCATTTTCAACAATGCCCCCCCTGTGACCCCCCACCCCCAGGCAAATGTAGTCAATAATTATTTATTTCAGAATTTCCAGCAGAAAATTAAAAATCTAACCCACACAAATGTTATGTATGACTAATGGCTTATTCTAAATGTAGCTTTAATTTAGTGTTTATGTGTCAGAAGGGGTATGAAGAGTAAAACTTATTTAGTCACGGCCCTTCATCTTTCTATAGTTGTGAACAACAACAATTTCTTAGATTCTTAGTTATCTTATGGTGACTAGGACTAATAACAACTAATCCAACAGGGCACCAATCTGGGTATCAGATCTGATATCGACTAATTAGCTGGATCAGATATCGGATGAATAATGCTGATCCAGCCTTCTGAACCAGTTATTTATGTTTTTATGGATATATACTCAACAATACAGTTACAGTGATCTAGTGACTTCAAATTTATGATTGCAAAGCTGACTATGTCATCGCACAGAGCATACAGCAGCTAGAAATGATTTATACCTGTTGATTTGTTACCTTTTTTAACAATGTTTATATCAAGCATGATGCTTTCACTCACATGGCCAGGTATGCGATTAATTCATTTCACGGTAGAATCAGATATCGGCCGATGTGCTCAGGCCATGCATTCGTATCGAATTGGATCAGAAAAAAACAGATTGGGGCATCTCTATCCAAAAGTCCATTAATCAACCAAATAAGTTTGTGGATGTACAGATAAACATACATATACACATTCACGCGTGCCAACACCCTTAGCCCACTGTGATTGCAAGACAGAAGAGTACCCACTGGTGTTCACCACCCTTTTTCCATCTCATATCCTTTTAAGAGAACCTGTGAGTTTTATAAGCTGTGGAGGTGAAATGACACACTGCAAAAAAATATAAATCTAATTAAGCCCATTTTTGCTTAAAATAAGTGAATTCTTTAATTGAGGAGGTAAGTGAGACACTTTGCCAATGGAACGAGACAATGAACATTTAAAGTAAGAAATTTTTTTTGCATTGTCTTATTTCAAGCGCATATTATCTAATTATCTTGTTTTAAGAGTAAAAATATTTATTCAATTGGTGGATCATCTTATTTACCTGCTCAAATAAAGGGTAAATACACTTAATTTAAGAAACTTTTTCTCATGTTTTGATTGTTTATTCAGTGCATTGAAGTCAAGGAAAACACCTATGCACTGGAAAACATATATATCTGAATAAATAATTTTTCTTACAATAAGTGCATTTGTTCTTGTATTGAGGAGGTAAAGTGAGACACTTCTCCAATGGAACAACATAATTTACATATAAAACAAGAAAAAAAAATTGTATTCTCTTATTTCAACTGCATATTATCTGATTATCTTATTATTAAGAGAAAAAATACCAATTCCAATGACAAATCATCTTATTTACCTGCTCAAACTAGGGGTAATTACACTTTATTTTAGAAATGTTGACTTATTAGATCATTATCACAGTTTTTTGGAGTAGATTTTTATAATTCAATCTGAAATAGAGTTAGCCCTAATTAATTTTTTTTTTCATTTTTTCCATCAGCTGCTGATATATATGTTTGTTTTTTTTTTAACTGCTTCTAGCACATATTACTGCATATTAGTCTCAAAGTGCGACCCATATGTGAGACGGTTGTTGCAATTAGACCCGTAAAGATCTATCTGTGAGCGCAGTGCAGGATGCGCTGCCTGGGATTAGTAATTTAGTGGCTCCTGGAGGGAGCACTTATAGGGCCCAGAATCAACTGCTCCCTGTGGATGAGCAGCATTAGTCCATCTCCAACTCTCAAAGATTCAATAAAGGTGAAATGATAAATGTTTGATGCGTTTATGGTTGTCCTTAAAATGTGACTTAAATGATCTTAAAAGCAATAAAAGCACCTCAGTCCCTCCTACCCAGACATGGAGAACCTACAGCTGATAGTAGCACTCCCTGGCCCCTGGCCCCTGGGCTCTCTGTCCGACCCGGATCTGCTCCTTCAGCGGTGTCACTCCCACCTTTCTCTCAGTTAGCCTGTAGCTATTATAATAATATTTTTATTAGTAATACTTCAGATTCCTTCCGGTCGTTTTATCTCCTGCAATCAGACAGCTGCTTTACCTCCAGCAGAGGAAGGCAACCAATCCAGGCAGCCGCCGGGCTGAACAGGAATCAAACCCAGAACCTTGGTGTGCAGCCTGCTGTCTGTCTGCTGCTGTCACCCAGCTCCCCACCACCACCGTTTGGACTTAATAAATACAGTAACATTACAGCAAGCACTTCCTGATGCGGATGCAAGAACAAAATACCCACAACTCCTCATATTATGAGATAAGTGAGACAGAATTCCTATAATTCTGCCTGACAATTTCATTATTAAATGTATTTCAACTTATCAAGAGGACATACTGGGGGACCAGTTAGTTTTTTCATGGGGTCATAACAGAGCAAGAGGCTATTTAGGATGTAATAGGAAAGGCAAAATCCCATGTTGCAGATTCCTGATCTATCAGATCAAAACTGTGATCCTATCTTAATACGGCTGAAGCTTAAAGCTAGCTGTAATTTCTAAATATATGTCAACGTTTATAGATGAAATATTAAATTGGTCTGAGAGACAAATCAGTTACAGTCTCTACTGTCAACATATATCATCATAAGAAATTAGGATTGCACTGTAAAACATGATCCTAATTAGTACAGTAAAACGTTATTAAATGAAGTGTATTTTCCTTTAATTTGTGTACATAGAAGCCAAAGGAATTCATTATTATTATTATAATGCACATGAAATAATATATAGAGTTCTTTTTTTGTTTTGTGTTTTTTAAATTCCCATGATCTCATTTCTTTTTGTAAATTGTCTTACCTGCCTAAATCAAGGGAACATACACTACATTTAAGAAAAAAAACTTATTTAGAAGCTTTTGTTTTAAGTACAAGGGCCATGACAGAGGCCAGGATCTTTTGTATAAGAGCACTAGCCAACAATTTCCATCTACCTCATTGACCTGTGGCCTCAATTCAAATGAAGCTGAATTAGAGAGCCAAACAAAAATCATTTCAAGGGCTCCAAATTGTCCAAAGAGAGTGCTTTGAACATCTCTGAGTCCCTCCCCAACTCAGAGGAAAATGCTTTTTGCATGATTTAAGGTGTAGTCAAAGTGGAATCTGTATGTCCAGAGAAATATTAAATAAAAGGGATTTAAAGAAAGCTATATAGTCATGTTCTAAAAGAACCTTAGATAACAGGAGTTACTGAAGTTTGTAATTTCCTGCTTTAGATCAGTTGTTTTGTAACAAACTCCCTATTTATCTGGATGGATGGATGGATGGATGGATGGATGGATGGATGGATGGATGGATGGATGGATGGATGGATGGATGGATGGATGGATGGATGGATGGATGGATGGATGGATGGATGCAACCCACATACACAAGTCTTCTCTTAAACCCCCTGACTTTCCTTATATAGCACAATTTATAGAGAAATAACCCAACATTTTCAATGATATAAGAAAAGTATTGGTGCTGCAAATAAATACTTACAAGGAATAATTTTTTTTTTTATCATTTAAAGTACTCCTCAAACAAAATATGCGCTCCTCCACCACCTAACACTTTTATTTTGAAGGTCAGGCTGCACCTTTTCCTCTTGTCTAATCAACAGTAGCTTTGTGTCTCTGTCGTAAAGATGCCCATTAAAGAAACCTCAACAATTTGATGTGTATCTCACATGGACCATTCATATTTTCTGGTATTTAACCCTCACTGTGCGCTACACTCTGTGGATGTACATAGTTAGTTTTGCTGATATTTCTTTGAACCGGTATATAAGGAATGAAATTATAAAACACACATCTCTACAGATTATGTCTTATTTCCACCAAATTCTATTGAACGTATGAACTATTATTTTTGATACAATATGGAGATAAAAAAAAAAAACTATTTCTATCCATTATAAGTCATGTTGTTATGATGCAATAAGCTTTTTAAAAAGCTCTATGCATCTCTTTCTGGGAGATTAGTCAAATCCGCACAAACTTTTCAGTTTTCTTTTATTTCAAGCCCTCTCTAACAAGTGATGCATTTTTCTTTTCTTTTTTCTTTTTCTCACTCTGGACTCATGGTAACAAGCAAGCAGCAAATGGTGTTACTGAACTTGGCTATTCCCAGAGACGCTGGGTTAAATTTAGGTCTGAAATTGGAGTCCAGTGACCTATGCAGGCTGCACTTAAAGGCAAAAAGCGAATTAAGCTCTTGCTATTTTATAAATTCATTTTTAATGACAGAAGCAGTGATACAGATCTCCGGGATCGGATATTTCATTAGTTTTTGCTTATCTAACTATAACAGTTCATTTAAATATTGATAGAAGGCCTTCAAAATTCAGGATATAAAGTCATCATGCTTTTTTTGGGATTCAAACCATGGTTGTGAAAAAAATTTGAATATATGAGGAAAAGTGGATTAAGTCAATTTTGAATACCAATATATATAAAAAGTGTGAAAATGCAACTAAATTTAAAATGTGTAAGACTGAATGATACTTTTTAAATATTTTTTTTATTTATAAATTTTCAGTTATGCAAATAGTGCAGATATAGACAGTAAAAACATCAGTTTATTTATATAGCGCCAATTCACAACACACGTCATCTCAAGGCACTTTACAGAGACAATTCAACCAGATCATACAGTCAAATTGCATCGACTCATTGACTCAAGGCAATCCCTCACTCCAAACATGCTTGTAGCGACAGTGGAGAGGAAAACCTCTGGAGAGGAAAAACCTCTTAACAGGAAGAAACCTCCAGCAGAACCAGACTCAGTGTGAGTGGCCATCTGCCGAGGCCGACTGGGGTTCAAGGAGACAGAAGGTAACATACAGAAAGAATCAGAGATACAAAAGGCAACTGTCAAACAGCTCCACAGGCGGCCCCGTCCCGGAAACACACAGCCAGGCAGACGAGCTCCGTTCCAGCCCCCTCATCAGAGGACGAATAGGGCTCATCCAGCCAGTCAGTTAGAAAAAAAAGGACTACAATGAAAAACAGGCTGAGCTTGAACATTCATAAACAAAGACGTTGATGGCAGCAGCACAGCTGATATTTCTCTCCCGGAAGGCGTCATAGCCAAACAGGAACAGACCAGATGAAGCTACTATGAGAAAAAGCAGAGAGAGCTTAACATTAGAGACTGAACTAACAGATTCTGCAGAGTGAGAGAATAGAGATAGAATGAAGCAGAATGACGAAAAAAGGGTCCCTATGTCCTCCAGCAGTCTAAGCCTATAGCAGCATAACTATAGAGATAGCTCAGGATAACCTGAACCTCTCTAACTAAGCTTTATCAAGAAGGAACGTTTTAAGCCTAGTTTTAAAAGTAGACAAGATGTTTGCCTCATGGACTAAAACTGGTAGTTGGTTCCCCAGGAGAGGAGCCTAATAACTGAAAGATCTGCCTCCCATTCTACTTTTAGAAATTCTAGGAACCACTAGTAAACCTGCAGATTGAGAGCGAAGTGCTCTGTTAGAAAAATAAGGAACAATCAGATCTCTGATATCAGATGGAGCTTGGTTATTGAGGACTTTGCATGTGAAAAGGAGGATTTTAAATTCTATTCTTGATTTAACAGGAAGCCAATGAAGTGAAACTAGGATAGGAGAGATGTGATCTCTCTTTTTAATTTTAATCAGAACGCTGGCTGCAGCATTTTGGATCAGCTGAAGACTTTTTAAGTACAGCTGTGGACTTCCCGATAGTAAAGAATTACAATAGTCCAGCCTTGAAGTAACAAATGCATGGACTAGTTTCTCAGCATCACCCCTGGACAGGATATTTCTAATTTTTTCAATATTCCGCAGATGAAAGACGGAGATTCTAGAAACCTCTTTGATATGGGATTTATATGACAGGTCCTCAAGATTTTTTACTTTGCTATCTGAGATTTAATCCCATCCAAATGAAGTGACTGACTAATCAGCTTAGACTCTGGGCCTAAGACAATAACTTCTGTTTTGTCCGCATTCAGGAGCAAAAAAGTTAAGAGTCATCCAGGTTTTTATGTCGTCGAGACATGCCTGTAATCTATGTAATAGATTAGCTTTATCTGGCTTTATAGACAGATATAGCTGATGTTGAAAAACACCTTCATGGTTTTCCCCCAGGTCCGTTAATTCGAGTGCAGGTAACTTAACTGAGATGGAGTGTTATAAAAAAATTCTGGACAACAAAGCTTCGATTCGCCTTTGCAAAGGGAGAGGAGCATCAGCAGCACGCATCTGCAAACAGCAACTTTGACCCCCCCTGCAACACCGGCTCTTTTTATTATCTTCATAGGGGAACCTCTTAAAGTTTCACACAGACAGTCCCACAGAATGATCATACTCCCTACTTCCTATGTCCAAATATGGAGTTGCTTCCTGCCTTTCTGCTCCACTGTTAATCAGCTTTTTCTGCGTGTGTGCGAGCCAGGTCATTCTACCCTCTTATCTACAGATTTCATCCTCCCTCTGCGAGCTTTGGCCTAACACCTGGGAATAGTAAATTTGCTGCCCATCCTTAGATTATACATGGCATATACTTCAATATGAACAATAAGTTTTGCTGCAGTTTTAACTTAGCTCTTTACTTCTTTTAGCTTAAACATGTATATATATCTTCACTGAGTACCATCAGCATAACAGTGGAAATCAATCCAATGCTGTCTAATAATTCTCCTGATTGGGAGCATATATATAGTAAAGAGAATTGGGCCTAGCATTGATCCCTGTGGTACTCCACAGGTAACCCTTGAGCATGAGGAAGATTTAACATTGACAAAGATAGATAAGATTTAAACACAGCCCTGTCTTGTATTTAAACCCTGACTTTGACTATAGGCAGCTTTTATAAACAGTCCATAATTACTTTGAATTTCTATCCTGCTTCATGAATGAAATTTACTTGAACTTAGGGACACAAGCTGATGGCCAGTGATTCTCTCTTTTGATAAGAAATTAATTTCTCCCAGTCTCTATCTTATTGCTGAACAAAGCTGCCTGCAGAGCTTAAGCTGTAATTGAGTTATTTTGTGCCCTGCTGTTTGATTTGTTGATAAGCTTATGGGTTATTCTGGTTGAACGGACCAACCTGGGAAGGTCCACTAGCATTTTTTAAAATTTTTAATCTACTATTGGATTTCTTTAGATCAAGATAAAATCTGTTGCTTTTTAATTCTTTTAGCATACTTTATGTTTCATCCTACATTTAGTAACTTACAGTATTCAGGCCTGGGTCTGGTTTATGAATTAAACAAAAAAATAATAATAATGTTGGTCTTATTTAATGTGTAATTTAACATGAGGAGCAAAAGAAGACCTTTTTTTTTATACCACCGTCTCTTTAGTCCTGTTTCCAGACTTTGTTGGATTTCCTTTCTTAATGTTTGCTAGAGATACGTCAGATATTGTTTATCTGCTGTGTAAAGTTTGCGTTTAAGCCTTGTTTTGTTCAAAGGGACACATTGATCATTATCTCATGACACTCTGGTACCATCTGAAGATGAGTTAAATAACAAAGTCCAAAAGAAATTGCCTAGAAAGCTTGATGACCATCAAAGCTATGTTTAAAAAATATGAAGGAAATAATAAAGAAGTTCAGGGTTGATTAAACCTTTGATATGCCACCAGTTTTTACTTTCTTGACAGACAGACAGACAGACAGGACTGTAGAAAAAAAGCTGGAGAATATAGCAATAAGAAATTCATACACAAAGATCAAAACTCTACTCACTTACTTATAACGTCTGTCAAACCTGCTTTCTAAATTAATAGTTAAAAGATATTCAATCCATTGTGGACCTGTTGGAATACTAACAATTTAAGCAGGACCCATTATAAGCAAAACATGGAAGTCCTAATTCAGTTCAATGCTCATTCAGGCTAGTTCTTTTTAACTTACCTGGGATCATTAAAGTTATATGAATTTTCACCTCCTTTTGGATAAATCCAATTCCATTAGTTAGATAGGCAGACCTAGACAGATTTTGTATTTTCGCATACACGAGTGTATACAAAATTCGTTCATATTTTGTTTAAAACAGCTCTAGACAATTTCATTTTATAAAGTGCAGCCTTGAAAAACAGTAATAAAAAAAAAAAAAAGAAAAAATTGTAATATATATACATATATATATATATATATATATATATATATATATATATATATATATATATATATATATATATATATATATATATATATATATATATAGTTAATTTATTTTCAACCCACTATGGTTTAGTTTAATTTTCCACAAAAGTTAGTCCTGTTTGTTTATTTCAGTTAATTTAAGCTCAGTAAATTAATTCTTTATTCAATAAAAACTTACACTAATTTCAACTAATTTTATTCCATTTTCAATTTACTTTGCTCGGTTTAAGCTCAATTTCTGATTGTTTCATTGTAAATTCAGTTCAGTGACATTTAATCCCCATCAGGCTACTAAAGCTAATCTTAACCAACCTTTTTTTTTATTATTATTATTACTATTTAATTCAATTCAGTCCAGACTTTGAAGTCACATAAATTAAATTAATTATGTAAAATCAAAAGTATCAGGAATATTTCTGTCAGCTGCTTTCTAAATCACAATACAAACAATAAAGTTTTAAATATATATTTTTTCATGTGATCCAACTGAATCAATTGTTTTAAGCAGTATGTCAGAGTAAACTATCAAAGCAAATGAAATATAGTTTCACTAAGTTAGATAAATACATTTAAATCACATTGTTATAAAGTGGTTTGCAACAAGCTGCCTTTTAGATCAAATTCATATTCAACACTTTATTATTGAAATTATTTTTCACTTCTTGTGTGAGAAATCAGTTCCTCTCACTCTTACCTATTCTACACCTGTCCCTGTTTCACTCCCAATTGAGCTCCTCTCTCAGCCAATCAGCGTCCAGCTCGCGCTCTCTTGAAAACCAATGAGGGTGCGGCTTCCGTCCCGTAGCGCGACGTGACGTCGAGATAAAACCTTAAGTTAAGCGAAGCTGGGGAGCAAAGTTTCTGGAAGAGCAGGGGGAGATCCACGTGGGAGGGGGGTGAGAGGAGCGAACCCAGCAGGAGCGAAGATGACAGACGCTGAGGCGCAGAGCGCAGCTCCAGCTGCCCCGCTGGAGGACAAACCTCAGCCGGAGAGGAAAATCATAGGTGGGTGCACAGAGGGTTGGGGAAAAAAAAGACCTTCAAACCAGTCTGGTTGGTTTATGGTTCAATACATGCATTACCTTCTATGCTGATTAACTATGAGTGTCCAGTGTTGAACTGTGCTGCAAAATCTGTGTAGCTGATTGGGCAATCACCAACCTGAAGAGTCCACAGTAAACCAGAACTCACTTCCATGTGTTACACTTACAATTTTTTTCAAGACCTTTCATTTTAAAGATATAAAATCAAATGAACAGAGTAATTTAATGTATAATTCCATAAACGTGCCATTTTTAAATAGAATTACTGCTCCTCAGATGACCCAGATTTGGTCTCTATCAGCTGGGAAGTCCTCACAGCTGCAAATAATTTCCTTAAATGGCTTCCAGCAGAAAATGCTTGCTGAGAGAGGGGAAAAAAAGCCAAAATCTATGTTTGCAGAATCATGTCATTTTAGTTCCTTAAGGTGTTTAACGGGTTGTATCGTCCTTACGCTCAGCTCCCATGTGACCCAGAGGAAACATGGTTTCAAAGTCTGACTGTTAATGATTGATGTTGGGAACTGGCTGCAAGGCTTCTGTGAAATGTTCTGCATTTCCTTTTTTTTTTTTTTTGTCTAATGCTGCGCTACTGTTGCAGCTACGGCAGTTCAAGGCACCGTGAAATGGTTTAATGTCCGCAACGGCTATGGCTTTATTAACAGGTAGCTCTTCATACAACATCTTGGTTTGACAATTCCCTTACTTCTGACTTTACGGACAAACTGTCATTTCTTGCAGGAACGACACTAAAGAGGATGTCTTTGTTCACCAGGTAAGATCAGGTTTTGACTCTTCGTCATGCTTGGCTTGTTTCGTTCCATTGACAGTGATGTCGTCTTTAGACTGCTATCAAGAAGAACAACCCCAGAAAGTTTCTTCGCAGTGTTGGAGATGGGGAAGTTGTAGAGTTTGACGTAATCGAGGCAACGAAGGTTGGAACAGAAATGGTTGGTTCATTGTGGACTGAATGTTGTGCAGTATTCAGGAAATGGGTTGTTTCTACCAGGGTTCAGAAGCGGCTAACGTTACGGGTCCGGGCGGCGTTCCAGTAAGGGGAAGCCGCTACGCTCCCAACAAACGACGTTTCCGTCGACGGTTCTTCCCCCGAAGCCCCGAAGATCAGAGCAAACCAGCCGATGACCAAGCCCCTGCACCGGAGGGAGAGCAAGCTGAGACCCGGGCAGCGAGGCCTCCACCTCGGCGACGGAGGCCTCGCAGACCACGACAGGATACCCGAAATGTAAGCTTAACCTAACAGGATTTTCCCTCTTTAACTTGAACATGAATAAAATCTGTTATCTGGAATGATAGGGGGAAGTTGGAGAGGAAAAAGATGGGGCTGTTGAAGGTGACCAGGCGCAGCCACAGAGACCACAGAGGCGCAGGTTCTGGCGTCCCTACCGGAGGTATTGCTGCATAAACTTTGAAATGCTCCACTTTTGTTCTTTTTGTCTTTGTAAACACTCTTTACCATAAATCCAGACCATTCCGCCCTCGCCCACCTCCCGATCAGTCTATGGCGGACCAGAAACCTGTTGCTGAAGAAAGCAAGGAACAGCAGGCAGAGGTAAAACATGTAGAGTCCCCTGAGGCTGTCCAGACTAATGGCGAAATGACAGCAGATGCCCAAGGCCAGAGACCACGCCGGCCATCTAGACGACGCAGCCAAAGGAACTCTGAATCCTCAACATTGAAAGCAAGTAGTTTTTTTTTTTTTTTAACTAGAACAGTGGTAAATCACAAAATTGCACATCTCTGTATGAGTGCTTCTAATCTGCTGGATTAGGATGTCAAAGTTTGAAGCTGTGTTCGTTTCTAACATTCAGAGGTCATAAATGGTTATGATGTTGCTTTTTGGTCTTTGTTTTAAAATGCTCTCATTCCCATTTGAAGAATGATGCAGAAAAGTCTGCTGCAGAGCCTGGCACTCCTCCTCAGAATGAAAAAGCAACAGAAGGAAAATCTACACCAAAATCACCAAAGTCTTCTCCAAAAACCTCTCCCAAACAGCCAAGATCTCCTGTGGTAAGTAAAAGGAATCATCTCAAGTGTTGTTGAATGATTACATTGACAGACTGTTGATTCATTTGCCTTCAGGAGGAAGTCGTCCCAGCAGTTCAAACCACAGCAGTCCCAACACCAACTGAGTGATTGCTCTTATTGCAAACCCTCTTTCCCCAAGAGGGGAAGAAGGGACCTGGCAGCAAAACTTAAGCGACTCTGGATTTGGACAGTTTGAGATTGTTCTTCTTTGGACAAGCGGTGCTGTTTCGAGGCACTGGTTTATCGTGAAATGCTGGCATTTAAGGGATAGAATTTTTTAGAGTCTTAAAAGGACAATTTTTTTTTTTTCTTCCTGCAAATTAAAACAAGGATTTAAAAGAAGAACAGCCTTGTTTCAGGATTAGAGGCATGACATTTGGTTCTTCACCATGTTAAATCCCTGTGCCTCTTTTTATGTTTTACTTGTAGGTCCTGGGGTTTGATAGTTGGACCTCATTTGCCGCATATGCGCTGCTCTCCGCTTCCTCCACCCATAGTCTATCTCCTTGCTCTAACCCCTTCTATCCCCACTTGTTTATCTATAGATTTGCTGGAAATGGTGATACTGACGGGTGTAATTAAAAATGTTAGAAATCTTTAAAAAAAAAAGGTAAAGGACCATCTGCTTGGTGGCTCGGGTATTCCAACCCCTCTTAAGAGCGTTTTCTTTAATCGGCCAGATGAGGGTAGATCAGGTATTATAAGGAACCAGCATTGTTTTTTTTTATTTGGCTTTTTAATTTGATTTGAGTGGGAAACCCAAGCAGGTGTACAGCAGGTGGTTTGTATTGGGAGTTTAGTTCTGGAACCACCTGTGTTGGTTAAAGCATTGCGCTCCTTTCATCTTCTCAGCTTTGAAAGGATTGATGGAAAAACTTAATTTCTTCAGGTTTTCGTTTTTTTGGAGGGGATTATGTGCAATGTCGGTATTTGGATTGCTAATTAATAAATCATGTTTGCAAATCCCATATTGGAGTGTTTTTGTTTGAACAGAAGGGAATAATGTAGAAAAAAAAAAAGGCTCTTATACAGGTATTTACAGATTTGTATGACCACAGCATAAAACAAATCAATGGCAGGGGGGAGACCTCAATACAAATATTCAGAAATGAATAAACTCTACATAACAATGCACACGTATGGATGTGAAGACTGTACATAAACTTGCTTTCTACAAAATCCTGATATCTAATTTAACTATGCATCATCAAAAACCTCACACCAGCTGGAGTGCATACAGAGTAGAAACTTTAGACCCACATACCATGACTTTAACAGCAACACTATGTATTTATTAAATCCCAAAACAATGTTTCCTGAAGCCTCGATTTGGGAAAAACATCTACTTAATTGGAGAAACACGCTTGTGAAAAAATTCTTGCTTTGGAGGGATTGGCTGCATCAGATATCAAATTGTAGCTCCTGTTTCTCTTTTCATTGGGTCAACTCCAAGCAGTCTGAGTAGGAAAAGTCCTAACTGATGTGCTGAGTTTATGTGGTCTTTGGCCACCAGGATGTCATGTGATTGAAATGCACATGGTTGATAGTAAAATTGGGAACTACAGACTTCTATAAAATAAATTACAAATGTAGTGAGCTAAAGCTCTCATTACACAAACCAAAACATGGTGTGGACATATGCATGCTCATGTTGTGCAATGGGTGGGATTCCTTGTAGCTCCATAGCATCAGTACAGGACCTCTACAGCACCCTATGCTAAATGAACTGTTAATAGAAAGTACTTTCGCTTTAGTGAAGTCCTTACCAAGTTGATTTTGAATGCAGGGTTCCTACAGCCTAGAATGGTATGAATTAGCTGGGGTGGGGAGGAAATGTTTTTCTTGAGCTTTGTTATAGGAAATGTCTGCCTAATTCAGTTAGATTCTGAATTTAGTTATATTTTAGAAATCTTTTTAACCATCTGTATTTTGGTGTCTTGTTAGTTGGGCACACTCGAAGGCCAATATTACTAGTTTAGTAACAGAAAAGTCTGAACTGGGCCATGAGTTTTTTATATTGGGATCTAAAAACACATATCCATGAAAATTTGAATCTACATTTAGTCGAAGGTGTTGACGAGGCTAGATTAGTCGAGCTGTTCAAAGAAGGGGCTCTAATGCAAATACAGGACGTCAGTTCTAGGATTTTTTCCTCCTTGAACCTACAGATTAGAGCTGCAAAAAAAAGTGTGACGCTTTCACGCAATTATTCTGATAAAAAACTCTGCATGTTATTAAAACTGAGGGACATTTAGATTTTCACTATTCATTCCTGATGTGCATTTAATGACAGAGGTTACAGCTTGTTTCTCAGCACTTTGAGAAGTTATTTCAGGGTAATATTCTTGATTGCTGTTGCAAAATGAAGCAATGGGAAACGCAAAAGGTTTCCACCAAATAAAACATGGCTACTATTTAGTTCAAAGTTCAGATTTCATATTCAAATGTCTAACTGTATAAAAAAATATATAAATTCTGAAGCTGAAAAACTATGGAAGTAATATGTAGGAATCCTGCTAAATTGTTGCCTTGTTTTCACAGCATTCAACAATTTAATATCTGATGCTAATGCAAACTAGACAGAAAATTTAATTTGATCAAAATATTAGTTATTAGTATTTATTAATATTAGTAAAAAATATACTAATACAGTTTCTGGAAATAACCTTACTCAAGCGTGTTCCCATCTTAAGTAAAAACCATCAAGATTCAATCACTGATGTCCATTTTCAGTCTTTGAGACCCAGTGTCCTCCAGGTTTTAGATTACTTGGTTACACTCATAGATTGGTCATTACTAGGCCGTTTGCAGAACACGTCAAGGAGAATTAATCAACAATTTGAATAAAATATATTTTTTCTTTGGAGCAAGGTCACATCATCTAAAACATAAAGCACAACCGGCCTTTTAGGGCCTGAGCTGGACATCACCGTCCCACAGTACCTGTTCCTCCGTTCGCCAAAGTCTGTCTTTATAAAGTGCTGGAATATCCAAATTCCTCCATCTTCCAATACTATTCAGTTTATCTGCATCAAATAAAATCATGTCGCATTGGCAGTCAATGCCTAAACAGTGTGTTTTTTTGTTATAAATACAGCAGTCAGTCTTTAATCCACAGGTTTTGAGCTGTTAGAGCAAAGGTCAAAACTACCAGTGATCTAACTGCAGTGGATTTAGCAAACCATAGTTCCAAAATCATCCACATTCACACACTCATCTTAACACTGCTTTGGCACCACAAGCTAAATGAACACATCTACAGATTTCAAACATGTCAGGAAATAACATTTTAGAGTAGGGCCCACAAAACTGTGCTCAGTTTGTGTTTTTTTTCTTTCATTTGGACTCTTCAATTGATGCTTTCATCGCCCAAATAGTCCAGCTCCGTGCTTGGCTTGTCCAGCTCCATGTCCATATCCATCATACCCGCCGCTGAGTGCTGATTAAAGTTTGCGGCGATCTGGTCGAAGGTCTTACCCCGGGTCTCTGGCACTCGAAAGAATGTGAAGATAAGAAAAAAGAGGAGAAGCCCTGCAAAGATCAGGAATACGTACGGCCCACAGAGATCCTGGGGAGGAAGATTTATGGGTTAATGATGAATATAAACCGAACAAAATGTCAAAATCATTTGTAAAACATCTTGTTTTGTAGAACTGATGGTACTCACAGCAACATATTGGAAGCCCATGCCGATGATGAAGTTGGCGGTCCAGTTGGAGAAGCCTGCCACCGCCATGGCAGCTGGCCTTGGGCCTTGAGAGAAAAGCTCAGCTACGAAGAACCAAGGAATGGGACCTGGACCCACCTCAAAGAAGGCGACAAAGCCAAAGATAGCAAGCATGCTAATGTAGCTCATCCAAGGAATGCTGTCCTGTCAGGTAGAGATAAAGATGGCGTCAGCGATTCATTCAGCTTACTAATACTGGATGATTAAAAATAACAATAATACAAACCTTAATGTGGGGTACTCACCAGTAAAGCCAGAGCTATTGTCATGACGATAGCACAAATACACATTCCTCCCAATCCCAACATGTGTAGTGTCCGTCGACCCATCCTCTCCACAAGGAAAAGCTGTTTATGTCAGGGAAACAATTTAAAAATACAAAATTTAGACTTTTCTTCTGTGAAGAAACAACTTTTTTTTTCTACAAAAGCTAAAAACTCTGTTAAGCTAAGATCGCTTGTCAGTTCACAAATTACGCTTCTAGCAAGTAACCAATTAGGAACTGACTACATCAGAATCTGAATGTGAGATCTGGTTTCAGAGCAAGAATTTAGGCAAAATTAAATGCAGATTCTAAAAAAACAAAAACTAGTCACACCCCTTTCTATAAATATTGTGCATTTTGGAGTCCAGATGTCACTACAAGTAACAAAGTAAGAATTAAATTGAACAATGGAGAGCAAGAGAGAGTGTGACCTTTAACAGATAACAGGAAGGCGGAACCCATTGCAGCACAGTTGCTCTGACTCATCCTGTCAAGCTATCAACTTCTGTCTATCACAGAACTTACTAAGGTCAGAATCGGCTTAAATATCTATTGCAGTGTCAAAACATTGGAAACGGACCCAAAATTTGTGATTAGGCAATTTCCACCTGAAACATTTTAAGGCACAAAGTACACAATTGGAGCAAGGAGTGGGCTGTAACTGGGTGAAAAGGTCCAAAGAGGATCTTAGAAAGACTTCCTGTAATCTGGATAACTTCTACTGAGAACAAAAGTTCAAACTTCAATCTTCACCACATTGGCGGATGTGCCACCATGAGATTAGCATGTTAAATGTCACATTTCTGATTTTTTAAAGAATATTTACACCTAGTATCAAAGAAAAAATCAGCTGGAGAAAAGACTCATCATGAAAAAGGGTGGACCAACCTTTTCTTATCTTATTTACTCTTTGATAACAGAGTTAAACACAGAACAAGTCACACTTATTGACTGAATGTGGGTCACAGCAAGCTCTTACTGTATAACTAAAGTCTATTGAGAGAGCAGACTACCAAAGAGCCAGAGTAATGATATCTCACCGAGACCACAGTAAATGCACAGTTTACCACCCCAGCTCCTATTGTGGCATAAACTGGACTCTGGACTCCTGCTTTCATGAAAATACTGGTGGAGTAGTAGAAAATCTGGAAGAGGGATTAAACAGAAATTAGCTCGATCAACATCCACACTTAAGCTTTGAGCATTTAGTGATCGCTGAACCAGTGCAAAATCAGACTTACAGCATTAACCCCAGACAGCTGCTGGGAGAGCTGCAGCAGGATAGAGATGATGATGGGCTGGCGGTAAAGAGAGGAGCGGAAGAGCTCAGGGATGGATACTTTCCTCTCCATTTCCATCCTCCTCTTCTCCTCCTTCATCTCTGCGAGCATGTCACCCACCTCCTGTCGGCCTGTCAGCCTCCTCAGGCCTGTTCAGAGGACAAAGGGATGAGAATAATTACCCATCAAACGGGGATGTCTAGGAATCTCAAAACAAATCTTTTGTTTCATGGTTGGACAAAGTGGAACTCAGGTCAATTAAAACCTTTGCTGATTCAATACTGCAACATTGTACCCTTGCATTACCATTTCCCCCCAACCTACTTTCAGTTTCTACTTGCATTTATAACTAATATGTATCATAGTTTGGGTTTTTTGTAATACATAAAGAAGTGGAAAACAATAGCATCTTTATAATCTCACTATAATCTTGGAATTAATCTAGATTAAAATTGCTCATTTGAATCCTGCCAAAGGCATTCATGATATGTGTGTGCCACCTCCAGAATTAAAAAGAAAAGGTTTACATTGTTTGTGTTTGCAAAATCACACATAATTTTGTCTTCTTACTTAAGATTTTGTCAGAGTAATAAATATTTTTTTGCTCATTTGTTTCTTTGTTTTGCAGCAGAAAATAGAGTGTCCCACTGTCAATCATAGATGTCCCACTTTAATAATACAGTGTCTCCAAAGATCTTACACACACGTAGCCTCGGTCAACTTTTCATCTTTCGCGGCTTTTTTCACGGCGCAGGTAGTTTGTAAGATGGGTCACCTGTGGCCGCCTGGAGGATGAGCTTGAGTCCATCCTGGCAGCTTGTGGCTATCCACAGAGCAAGGAGATTGGTTAGCTTGGCTGATAGAGCTGTGCTTATAGCTGCATCCATGTCAGCACGCCACCTTCAATGTGGTAACTGTTCCTCACCCATCGCAGGTGGTCTTCCCCCCCACTTTTTCCTCCAAGCTCGGGTCCTCTACCTCCGGCCTGGGAGTTTGAGTATCCTTGCTGTTCCTAGAACTGCACTCTTCTGGACCGAGATGTCTGATATATTTCCAGGGATCTGCTCTAACCACTCCTGCAGTTTGGGGGTCACTACCCCAAGGGCCCCAATGACCACGGGTACCACTGATGCCTTGACCTTCTCATGCTCTTCTCTGAGCCACTGGTATTTCTCTAGTTTTTCATGTTATTTTTTCCTGATGTTGCAATCACTTGGTATTGCTATGTCAACCAGAACGGCTATCCTCTGCTTATGTATATATATATGCAGGACAGCTCTGATTTTAAAGCGGGATCCATATGTGTTGCGCAATATTTATTGATATTCTTCATTTAAGCTGCAAGCACCAACATACATTGGGCATCCATCTAGTTTTTAAAACACAGTTTTTCTTTATTTAACACAAGAGGCTAACTTACATAAATAGAATAAAGCACCTTCTCTATGTGGCTAACATAAAAAGGTCACCCCAAATATCAATCATTTCTCCTTGCATATTTAGATGTGATGTAACCATTCATTCTTATCAACATGCTTCTCCTGACTGGAAGTAATATTAATGTTTTTGGAGTCACTCAGCCAGAGTCTCCATTAGAGACATGAATCTAATGGAAAATCAGGGAAAGAAGCTCAGGATGTTATACGACTCACTGACCATCCAGCAGGTACTGGTGTCTTGCTGGTGTTTAGGAAAGCTATGCAGCACTAATTTGATAGAGACAAACTTTATTTTTCTTTATTTGCCTCAGTCTAGATGCTCTGCAGCATTCTTATATTAAATCTTGAACATAAGAATTTGGCTTTTAATGTTGATAAAGGTTTAAGAAATGTTTGATCCTGCTTTGGCTTTACATTATCCAGCACAGGAGTTAGCATTATTGTTAAGTTTATTCTGAGAAATGCAGGGGCAAACTAAAAAAAAGAGGTGGGTCTTGAACAATGTGAAGCACACCAGCTGCACCCACCGCGCTTGGCAAGGTGCTCCTGGCTGCGGATGATGTAGAGGAATCGGGGGCTCTCAGGACAGAAGGGCAGCAGACCCATCTGGAGCACAGTTGGTACCACGGTTAAACCCAGCAGAACGGGCCATAGGTGTTCGCTGCCCAGTAATGACTCCAGACCCAGAACCTAATCCAATGTTGTAAAAAAGAGACCATTAATGTGGTGAGCTGGGTTTCAACAAATCCTTACCTTAAACTTACTGAAAGAAAAGCAACATGGAATACATAGTACGTTTGTATACAGACACAAAAGCCAATTTATCTTAATCACTCTTCAAAATGGGAAAAGCAAGAGAAGATGCCATCAAAGTAAGGCAGATGCACATATGAGTTAAGCCTGGTTGTTCAGCAAATGACTGCAGAACAATAGATACCAACTTTAAAACTTAAAGCCTACAAAAAAGTAACAACAAAGCGTTTGCATTCCAAGGAATAGATTTTAAGTTAAGCATGTAAATTACCTAAAAGTTAAAAAAAAGGACTCAGTTGTCCAAGGCCTTGCTATCGATGATAATCAGTGCAAAGGTAATTTCAAGGTTCCCTGAGGTGAGACGTTTCAGTGGGCTTACAGAAGTGTTGCTATTTGTCATGAGAGAGACTTGGAGAAGTCGATCTAAGAACCACTCATGATGTCAGTAATGTTGGAAGCAATCCATACCCTCCAGATACAATTATTTCTCATCAAAGAATAAAACTTTCTTCAAGCCCCTTACTCCTAACCAGGCAGTAGCCAGAGTGTTATGAGTAGAACTGAATAAAGTTCTACGTTATCAATCTGGGATCCGTGAAAAGGAGACATTTCCTTTAGAACAACTCTCTAGACAATTACATTTTTTGAAGTGAAGCCTTGATAAGGTAAGCAGCAGTTGTTGTTGAGCTGCTACTACTGCCTCCAGCTCCTGAAGCATGCGCTTCTCCTGGCTCAGGGGAGAAAGAGGAGGATGATGACGATTCTGTGAGGGTGCTACCCCCTTGGGTTGAAGAGCCTGACGTGATTGAAGCAGCAGTGGTGCCATCAGCAGGTTTCAGCAGCGACAGACGATGCTGGAGAAGGTGTGGAAGACGGAGGGGGCCGGGAGGAGCCAGCTGGAAATGTTTCAGCATTTTTACAGGGAAGCGTCAAGAGTGCTCTACTCATTTTCACCTGTAGAGGGCTGTGCTTCCCCTCTAGATGCAGAAGATTGCCTGGGAATAGTCTGAGACAGCCTCCATTCACGCAGAGCTCTTTGTTCCTATCAGCATGGTATAGCATTAGCCCTCCAGGCTAATAGCATTGTCCAGTACTGCTGGACGCAGCCAAGACCCCGTCAGAATGTTTAGTCAGAATGATGTTTAGTACAATACTTCCAGCTGATTGGGTGATGTGCCAGCTAGTACCTGCCTTCCATAATATGCTTTCAGCCAATCGTAGCAGGGAATGGTGACCTTCAGAGTTAATAGCTTCTGCAACTTGGTTGTCCATGAGAGCCACAACGGACATACACACACAGACATCACACTGACATCTATCCTGTCGACAAATGCACAAAGTGCTTCTATTTTAGTTAAAAAAGAGTCAATTGCTGTATCAACAGGTGAGTCCTCCTACGTAGCCATGTTTAGAATGCCCCGGCAAAACCCTCAATCCTACATGTCCCACCCCAAAAAACACTGCTGGCATGTCATTCGTCCTACTTGCTGGTGGTTACGAGACAGAGGTGTTAGTTGGAGTCTTTCCAGATCGATTTGTTGTGAGACTGAAAATTCAGTTCTCGCGACATTCCAACCTTGCAGTGCAAGGTTACCTTACTCCCTTACCGAGTCCAAAAGGGAAAGCTTTTGGCATGGAGGGTATGTGACCTTTATAGTAGTTAATTGAACTCCTTTCTTGTAGGGGCTATCTCATTTTATTTGGCAACTTTAGGAGTGGCCTCAATTAGTCGGTGGAAGAGTAAGGTCTGGTACTGCGCACCAGTAAAAGATTTAGAGCCGCTGTATGCAGTCATATCATACCTGTGCTATAAGAATGCCAGTGACTATTGCCAGTTGGTGCAAAGTGCCGAGTGCACCTCGGAGACTTGTAGGAGCTATCTCCCCCACATACATTGGTGTTAATCCAGATGCGAGGCCTAATGATAAATCCCAAAAAAGACAGAAAATTTGCATTAAACTTTTATCCAAACAAGCTGTCGTTCCTAAAGGTTTTTTTTTTCTTTTAAGTCTGTATGTATAGAAACAAAAGGATACATCGGAAGGTTATTTTACCACAGTAGGCGCCAATGATAAAACGTCCCAGGATCATCATTTCAAAGGACATACAGAGCTTGGACATTCCCATCAGACTCCCACCAATGAAGGCAAACAAATTGTTGGCAAGCATGGCTTTTCTCCTGGAAGAAACAGTAAAAAAAAAATTTAAAAAGTGAAATGATGGTATCGAAAGCTCATTTTAAATCCCATCTGAGATAACTGGTGGGTTACACTAAAATAAAAAATAAAAAGTGGTTGACTCAGACCTTTGACACTGAAACAGGTTCATATAAGTAAATGTTAGATTAGATCGCCTTGTAGGGAAGCATGAAATTAAATTAAATTTGGCCTCTAGATGGCAGTGTCTTACAAAAGTACAAAGGGTTAGAGCTGTTAGAGATTCTGGTTGTTATGGATTCCTATAAGAAAATATCTATGACTGTGTATTTATAACAACTGCAGTTTAACAATTGGTCAATTGGACTTGATAAAAAACAGAATACATTGCAATTAGATTAAACATTCCCTCAAAACATAATTTGAACCTGTGAGAATTTCTACCAAACGTTTCTTTTGTTTGTTGTTGAATTGCTTTCCTTTAATGTTCCTTAATGTCTGACATAGCCCCCTACTGAAAATAAGCTACAAATGTGCAGTTTCAACAAGTTCATGTATATCTTTACTATTTTGATGCAAGTGCTGTGACAGATTATTGTTTACCAAATTGCATTGAATCACGCAAACTTAATTGTACTGTTAAACAATTTGATTGTACTGGAATAAACTAGGCAGATATGGAATCTGTACGCATGAATATACATTTGAATTATTTGTCTTATAAAAGGTCTTGAGGTGACATCTTCTATGGATCTGTGGTGATTTTAAGATCAGTTTATATTAAGTTAGTGTTTCCTAAATACATATTTGGGTTAACGAAATAGATATTCATCTAAATTAGTCTTGGTTCTCACTTGTGGAGCTTTCAGTGCAGCTGTACCTGCTTCTTTGTGGATAAAAGCCTCAATATTTCAAGCTCCTCCACTAAATCTAATAAAAAATAGCTGTACACATTATCAAAATACACATTGCTGAATTTGAGAAAGTTTATTTAGTCAAATATTGCTACTGAAAGTTTGTTTGTTTGAGTACAGATACACATCGTATTTAACGCAGTGTCGACCAAGCCTACTAAAGAAGAGGTTCTTATAACTGCTTGAGATTTAAATCTTAAAGCAATGATCACGATGTAACAGGTTTCTATATCTAATAACCATCAACCTTAATACAAAAGTTTCAGTTCTGTATTTTTGAAGACACATTACTACCTCTTCCACAGAAATAAAGAATACGTTTCACCTTTTAAACAACAAAGCTTGCTGTTAAAAACGTCATCAGTGAGATTTGAGCTGATCTGCTCTTTGACCTCAGAGGCCAGCCGCGTTACCACCAACACCAGCGGCAACAGCTGTTGTTCAAGGAGGACAAGTTAAGATCCTGTCCTGCTGCCCAACCTCCACTCCTGACACCCTCCCTGACTCTGGACTCAGCGCTGTCATGCCCACCCCTGCCTTCAGCCAGTTTCCACCATGGCTTAGGTTACAGAGGGAAACTTGGATGGCCCACTTAATGGACCGGACTTCAGCTTCAGCCGAAACTCTGAGATACTAAATTTAAGGCGGGTGAAATCAGGAAAGTAGACCCTTAATTTGGTCTTTCATTCTTAGAAAAACTTTTCACACTTTAACCTTGAAAACAACCCAAACGACTTCTAGTTCTCAAATTTCTATAAATCTTGGGGAGTTTTCTATCTGTCATTGCAGAGGAAATGTAATCTCCTTGTGTCTTCCTACCTGCCAAGCCACTCTGAGATGAAACCCACACAGAAGGAGGACACCATGCCTCCGATGGAGAATATGGCCACTGACAGGGACCAGAGGGAGGTGAGGGTCCCACTTGGTATAGGTTCTCCATAACGGTGCACCCATGTTTCATTGTAGTCCGCCTCAATGATCTGCAGAGCAAAGATAAAGTGTGATTAGTTATCAATACAATTTTTAAAAAAGTATACAAATCTCATGACCGATGCACAGCACCCTCCATTCGTATTGGTATTATATTGAAAGGCAAGGCAAATTTATTTGTATAGAACAGTTCAGTACAAAGACAATGCAAAGTGATTTACATTAATTACACAATAAAAAATGAATTAATTTTAAAAAGCAGGATAAAAGCAAGTAAATATTGAAAAATCATGATAAAAGCAGGTAGTAAAGCAAATAAAACAGTTTTGATCACAACCTTAAACTAAAAGTACTACCGGTAAGTTAGCAGTTTAACTTCAACAGTCAAAGGCAGCTCCTAACAAATGGGTTTTCATCTTCGGTTTAAATGAACTCAGGATTTCAGCACTTTCAAAATCTTCTGAAAGTTTGTTTCACATAAGTGGAGCATAAGAACTAAATACTGCTTCTCCATGTTTGGTTCTAGTTCTGGGTGTAGACTGAGTAGGCTGTGACATTTCACAAGAGGGGAGCATGCAGAAAGTGAACTATTTGACCAAATTTCTTTTTTAGATGATTAGCCTGCTAAAAGAAAATGTAGGAGCCAATTTTTTTTTGTTAATGATTAGAAATGTTTTTTGTTTTTGTGTATAATCTAGGCAAGTTTATTTTATGGTATTTTTTAATATCCGTTATGAGATTATGTTTTTTGGTTATTTAGTTATGTTCCTTTATTTTATGGTCAGTTATGTCAATTGTAGGACCAGCATGCATCTGGGTGGGCGTATGTTTTTTTACCAGCTCAAGAGAAACATGGAAGAAATGTTTGTCTTTTTGTTTGCTTGCCTGAGGTAAAAAATAAACTGACAAAACTAAAGGAGTTTACGTGGAACATTTTTTGTTTTGCTTGCATAAAATAAGTCCATAGTGCATCTGTGGCCTTTGTGGATTTTCACTTTTTTGAGCCATCAAAGCTGAGCTACAACAGAATCATTACAATGATAAGACAGAAAACATCAATAAACCAGTTCAAGGTTTGTTGTTTTGGTAAAACACTTCCAAGAACAAGGCAAGATCACAGTGAGGTGAAGTAGAAATAGCCCACAGCATCATAAGTCCTACATCGTACTTCCCAGTGTTAGGAGTATATTTTTGTCAAAATATACTACTACAAAAGTATACTTTTCCTTTTACTTTAGTAATATTTTAATGGCATATCGTATGTATTATTTTTGGCTCCTCCATGATTTATTTCACTGAATGACAAAGAAGCTTTTTTTAAATTAAAGTTCTTCAAGCAAAGACAAACAGTGGGATCACAAACCTTAAGGTAGGCCAAAATGAGTGTTCATTTTTTGTACAGATGTATATCTGGTGAACATTAGGAGGTGAAGCTATCCATCCATCTATCCATTTTCTGAAACGCTTAATCCCAAGTGGGGTCGCGAGGGGTGCTGGTGCCTATCTCCAGCAGTCAATGGGCGAGAGGCGGGGTACACCCTGGACAGATCGCCAGTCCATCGCAGGGCAACACAGAGACAGGACAGGACAAAAACAATTTATGCACACACTCACACCTAAGGAGGATTTAGAGAAGCCAATTAACCTGAAAGTCATGTTTTTGGACTGTGGGAGGAACCCGGAGAGAACCCACGCATGCTCAGGGAGGACACAAACTCCATGCAAAAAGACCCCGGGCCGGAAAACGAACCCGGAACCGGAAACTTGTGACTGGAGGTACTTTACACAGTTCTAATACTCTACTATTAACCCTAACCTACTATTAGGGCTGGTTCATTCATTTTTATGCTGAAAGAAATTAGATTTGAACAAGTGTTTCTTCTGCTTTTTTTTTTAAATCACGTTATGATTTCGCAGTACTTGAGTAGCCTTTTTACTCTGATGTGAGTAATTTCCTTCATGGTTATATAGCAACCTTACTCAACTAAATATATGATAAAGGAGTGTTACTCCTACTTATTTTACTTCCACACTAATTATGGGTATTCTACCCAGTGGGACTAGAGCGCTATTTCAGTAAAATCCAGACCCAATTGGAGTGCTTGTTGCTAAAAAACTGAACCTTAGTCTCCTCTAACCAAAGGATGCAGTTCATGTATACGTAAGTATGTAACAGCAAATGCCAATATATAAGATTATAGAAGTAGGATAGAGGAGGTTTTTTACTGGAGTGTTTTATGAACAGCCAATAGGCAAGCAGATAGGATCTCACATTGGCTGTGGAGACTTGATGTTCCTCCTATTGGCATAAAGATCCCTCCTTATGCTGCAGTCTTTGCTGAAAGGCTGTACATTACTGATATGCGTAGGCTTTTTTTTGACACTTGTCCAGCAGTTGTTTTAAACTTTTGAAACCTTACTCTTCTAGACAGAGGACAATTTTTGGAGCTGAAGTCTCTTATTTAACACAATTATTACACAGGGTTTTTGCACAAGGTATTAAATGGGTATTTATATAAATAGGTATATATATATATATATATATATATATATATATATATATATGTATGTATATATATATATATATATATATATATATATATATATATATATATATATATATATATATATATATATATACACACATACATACACAGGGTATTAAATGGTAATTGCACATTATTTACTGCACAAGTTATTGCAGTTGTAGAGTCTGATGGGAGCAGGGATGAATGACCTGTGGTAGCGCTCCTTTTTACAAACAGTGTGTATAAATCTTTCAGTTAAGTTAAGTTGCTGTTTTCTTGGAGCCCTTTCCTGGCTCTTTAAGACAAAAATAAAGTATGCCTTTCTTGACTGGCATGTTCTGCTATATTTCCAATATTAAAGACCAAAGAGAAATAACACAACATGCTTTATAGGATCTACTAAATCAGATATAACCGTGCTGAATGCATGCATTCAATTAAAAGTGGGACGTCAAATTTTTTTTTTTCCAACTTATTTCAAGATGTTAAAAACAACATCACCGATAAATGTGGTTGGTGATGTAGATTTTAATGGAAACTATTCCCGTCATTTAATAAGTTAATATTAGATGGCGCAAGCAAGGACTAAACCAAAATATAACAATGTTTCAGTTGCTGTGCTTTTGTTGCGATGTGTTTACAGTAAACCAGCTTCAGTAGCAGCAGTACTAGCAGCCCAGATCGACCCACAACAGCCGGAGCTTTGTGTTGGTCTCTCTTCAAAGCTCTAGACTCTTTTTAAATCAGTAGAAACAGTTAGCTGCTTTATAATTACCTGCCTTATTAAATGAATCCATGAGATGAAAATAAATTATTCAATATGACACATTTGCTAAGGACTGCCATACCAAAGCATCAGGTATGGTGGTAAAATGAACAAGAGCAACATGTCAGTCTTTTATAAAACACGTGTCATATATCATGATTTGTGTGCACTGATTGCAACTCAGAAATCATGTTTTAAAATGTGTCGTCATGAAATAAAGTGATACATACTTTTCTCTAATAAATCCATAATTATTCTGCTGCTATCTTATCGTGTATTTATTTATGTCTTTTGGGTTGAGCTCAGAACCTCTCTGCTTTCTGTTTCCTAAATACCATATGACTGTGTTATGGTTTCAAACACTGGAGCTTGGAAAACCAGGAACCAAAGGGAAAGTCTCTGAAAAGATGTTGGATAAACAGAAAAACACAACAACCACATGGTGACAACAATGCCTCCTGAAGGGTTGACATTATGAGAGCGTTGGGCTGGGTTTAATAACCACAACACAGTGGGATGGGGGCTCTGTTTTACAAGAACTGTATGTGCTCAGTTCATGTCAAGTGAATCAAGTTAGAACCGAGGCGCTACTGTGTTAATGTTTGTACATCACTAAAAAAAAAAACAATTAAAAAAGACTGTATTTATCCAAAAGGAAAGTTTTTTTTGTTTGTATTTTTGTAAATGCTGATAGCTGTAGGCAGGCAGGATCTTTTATAGCGGTCTTGCACCAGATCTGACGAAACCTTTGTTGTTGTTTAACTTCCTTCTGAGGAGGATTTTCACTAATTCCTTCTTGTGAAAAAATCTCAAGAGGTTATAGAGGAGTTCCTAGAATACAATCAGCCTTGTTTATAAGCTTATCGAGCTTTTTTAAGTCATTAGCTCTGATGCCGTTACCCCAGCAGATGATGGAGGAATACATCCCACTCTCCATGACAGATATGCAGCATCTTGATGCAAACACTGAAGGACCAAAGCTTTCTTAGAAAGTACAGTCTGCTCTGTCCCTCATAGTAGATGGCCTTACAGTTGTGTCTCCAGTCTAGTTTGTTGTCCAAGTGAACACCAAGGTATTTATGATCCTCCACCACCTAAATTTCTTCTCCCATGATGTTAATAGGATTCAACTTGTTCCTAGTTCCTCTGAAATCTACATTTTTTTTTAACCACATTAATAAAAAAATTTGCTTGGAAGAAGAAAATAAATAAAACATACAGACGCACTGTTTGGTATTGCTTTGGCAATATCTGATATAGTTGATATTGTGATTGCTACATAAATATCAATAATAATCCTGATCCTTTTTCTCATTACTTTAATGAAATATAATTGGGTAATTTATTGTATATTCTTAGTAAACTGAAGCATTTCTTTTTACCTTCTGAGGTGCATTGATGACTCCAATGTTATAGCCAAATGTCAGTGATCCCAGAACAGCAGTGAAGACCGATAGAGCTAGAGTTCCAGTCACCGTCTGCAGAAAAAAAACAAGAAAAGGTAGAAAGAGAATTAATGAATTTATTGGTTTAACCACAGAATATTACATACTGTAGTAATACTGGGAATTGGGTTGATCATATAAGTAATGTCCTTCCTTGTCCTATAAAAAACAAATTAAAATGAAAAAAGTCATAAAAGCATTTCACAGCTTTATTAGTGTGGTGTCAAAATCCCAACTCCTTACTATATTGACATGTACCACAAGTTCCACTACCCATTATAACTTTAACTGCCAGATTATTTGATAGAGCTAGGTTTAATGCAGAGCCTTTTCTAAGCTTCTACCAAGTCGACAATATTGTCTGTCAAAGTTTGTTGTCTCCACTTTGTATAAGCTTTGCCAACCCGTCCAACTGCATTTAAAAGTAAGAGAGGTTAGTATGGAGCCAATCAAAAACAAAAACACAACTTAATCCTACTCATGTGCCCACATGGTTTGTGTGTTCATATATATATGTATGGATGGATGTCCAAACAGCAACTCAAAATATCTATCAAAGAAAACATTGTTCTTTTATCTGAAAAAGGCATTGCTTCCCTAACAAAAAATGAAAATAGATAGATAAATATCTATAGAATAAATAGAGACTTTCCCATTTTAAAATACTGTCCAGTCTTCTACATCTTCAAACAATGTGTTAACATCCTCGTGATGAGACATCATTTATTTCTGGAAGTCTATGGAGTCTATGGGCAGGAGGACAGGTCACCAGTCAGTAGCAGGGCAACAGAGACACACAACTATCCACACACACTCACACTTAATGCCAATCTGCCTTACAGTCATGTTTTTGGACTGTGGGATGATACTAGATAACCCAGAGAGGAACCATGGATGCATGGAGAGAACTTGCAAACTCCAAGCTGAAACATAACGAGCCGTTTTTAGTATATTTACAAACCCTCTAACGACCAACAGGCCTTTTGGGGATGGAAGGCTGGTCCTGATGATGCAGACCCCTGCTTTTAACCAGAAAGAGTCTGTTTAAAGGTAAGTTGTGAACTAACTTTATGTCACGGTTTGGGTAAGGGTTAGGCATACATGTGATAAATGAAATAAATGTAAGTCCATGTAAAGTCTAAATAGAGCTACAAATACAAGTGGGTGTGTGTATGTGTGAGCATTGTGTTCATTGTGGGGTTAATTTTCTTGTAAAAAATAAATAAATAGCATGTTGTGGGGACTAACTGCTCCTTATGTGGTCCAATGCCAGTACCTCATAAGATGAATTGCTTGTTTTGGGTCAGGGATCATGTTTAGGATGAAGGTCCGTATTTACTTTACCTGGGGTTAGGGTTAGGGTTAGGTGTGAACCAGTAAGTAGTAGTTGGCTGCCGAAATTAATGGAAGTTGATGGAAAGGCCATAACTTGTCTCAGATACTGAGACAAGTTTGTGTGTGTACGTTTAAATTGAAAAGAGGACCTAGAAACAATCCACCATCTTAGAGCAGGGTGTAAGATACTGGCAGGAAAGGAATACATGGAACGTCATAGCTGGGCATACAGGTGCTGGTCATAAAATTAGAATATCATGAAAAAGTAGATTGATTTCAGTAATTCCATTTAAAAAGTGAAACTTGTATATTATATTCATACATTACATACAAACTCATATATTGCAGATGTTTATTTTGTTTAATTTTGAAGATTACAAATGACAACAAATGAAAATCTCAAATTCATCATATCAGAAAATTAGAATATTGTGAAAAGGTTCAAAATTGATGGCCCCTGGTGCCACACTCTAATCAGCTAATTAACTCAAACCACCTGCAAAAGCCTTTAAATGGTCTTTCAGTCTAGTTCTATAGGCTACACAATCATGGGGAAGACTGCTGACTTGACAGTTGTCCAAAAGACGACCATCGACACCTTGCACAAGGAGGGCAAGACACAAAAGGTCATCGCTAAAGAGGCTGGCTGTTCACAGAGCTCAGTGTCCAAGCACATTAATAGAGAGGCGAAGGGAAGGAAAAGATGTGGTCGAAAAAAGTGTACAAGCAAGAGAGATAACCGCACCCTGGAGAGGATTGTGAAACAAAACCCCTTCAAAAATGTGGGGGAGATTCACAAAGAGTGGACTGCAGCTGGAGTGAGTGCTTCAAGAACCACCACACACAGACGTATGAAAGACATGGGTTTCTGCTGTCGCATTCCTTGTGTCAAGCCACTCTTGAACCACAGACAGCGTCAGAAGCGTCTTGCCTGGGCTAAAGAGAAACAGGACTGGACTGCTGGTGAGTGGTCCAAAGTCATGTTCTCTGATGAAAGTAAATTTTGCATTTCCTTTGGAAATCAAGGTCCCAGAGTCTGGAGGAAAAGAAGAGAGGCACTTCATCCACGTTGCTTGAAGTCCAGTGTAAAGTTTCCACAGTCAGTGATGGTTTGGGGTGCCATGTCATCTGCTGGTGTTGGTCCATTGTGTTTTCTGAGGTCCAGGGTCAACGCAGCCACATACCAGGAAGTTTTAGAGCACTTCATGCTTCCTGCAGCTGACCAACTTTTTGGAGATGCAGATTTCATTTTCCAACAGGACTTGGCACCTGCACACAGTGCCAAAGCTACCAGTACCTGGTTGAAGGACCATGGTATCCCTGTTCTTAATTGGCCAGCAAACTCTCCTGACCTTAACCCCATAGAAAATCTATGGGGTATTGTGAAGAAGAAGATGCAATACACCAGACCCAACAATTCAGAAGAGCTAAAAGCCACTATTAGAGCAACCTGGGCTATCATAACACCTGAGCAGTGCCACAGACTGATCGACTCCATGCCACGCCGCATTGCTGCAGTAATACAGGCCAAAGGAGGCCCAACTAAATACTGAGTGCTGTACATGCTCATACTTTTCATGTTCATACTTTTCAGTTGGCCAACATTTCTATAAATCCTTTGTTTTTATTGGTCTTCAGTAATATTCTAATTTTCTGATATGATGAATTTGAGATTTTCATTTGTTGTCATTTGTAATCATCAAAATTAAACAAAATAAACATCTGAAATATATGAGTTTGTATGTAATGTATGAATATAATATACAAGTTTCACTTTTTAAATGGAATTACTGAAATCAATCTACTTTTTCATGATATTCTAATTTTATGACCAGCACCTGTAGAGTACAGAGACATCTGTGTAGAATACAAACTCAATATGGATCCACTTCCCAAGGTGTTGGAGAATGACCAGTTAAGATCCTGTGGGATTTCCAGATACAAACAGACTAAATGGTTTAGGCCAACCAACTAGACCCTGGGATCTTTGTTCTGTCATTCTCTACCAACTCTGTAGTAACCCCCCATTTTGACCTGGGGGTATCCAGTTAGTATTCTGCAAAGATGTTCCTGTACACTATACCAGCCATTTGGGCCCAGCTGGTCCTTTCCTGCTAGCATTTTACACCCTGCTGTGAGAGGCTGGGTTGTTTCTGGGCCCTTTTTGCATTCCCTGCACCTGGGATAATGCCTGATATGGTAGATCTAGGCCTCAATTGCTCTAGTGACCAAACGCCTACTCCTGGGCTGCCATGATCAGTCCTCTGTGTTGCCCTTCAGTCCTGCCCTCTCTAGCCATTTTTAGGATTTAATCACATCATGCAGGGATGTACCAAACATTACAAATAGTTACATAAATTCTATGGTTCCATCTGATCAATGTGACCTTCTGGTCTCAAGCAAAATCAGGCATCTAAGGATGACATGCAATTGAGCAATTAAGGTTTTGGAATAAATACGCTTCCTTGATAAGTGTTATGGGAATTTATGTCAGAACCATGTTCTATCTACACATACTGTACGGGTGCATGTTTACAGAGATGTAAGCTTTAATTAAACAGTCAGGATTAATTACAACGCCTTACCACACAGCTAGCTAACATTAACTATAAATAAGCCTCATCCTGACCACAGACAATCCCTTTAGTAACATCCATGACTATACTGGCTAAGTGCCTGAACTTTCACTAGCCTCCCAATTCCCGTCAAGCCCCGGACACCTGTCTGTGCAATGACAGATGAGATGACCTTGGGGGAATAAAGGTCCACCACCCTCAGAAAGAGTTTAACTGACACTATCATTCAATGATTTAAAACATCTGTCACTGAAGCCACGGTTGCATGTTATTCTTTCATACATTTTTTGTTGTCGTCTACCAGGTCTGACCTCACAATGTCCTGCAAGAGGTGTTGGTTAAACAAAAAACTCTGGAGCCATGATGGAACAACCTGACCTCATAAAACATCTTGATCACGTGACCACGATTAGGAACAGAACTTTAGAAAATATAAACACACTGGTGACACTTCAGCGATAATTTATATCAAATTGTATCTTTGCACAACACAAAGCATTAGGTTTGCTTGAGATTTGTATAGAGAGCGCTGATAAAGAGAAAATTGTGGCAATCTCATATGAAACATGATCATCTCTTTCTTTTACACTCTCCTCTGAATCATTGACCAAACTTTACCCCATCGGTCCTAAAGAATCAAATTCAGGCTGTCTTGACCTTGCTGTGTTGAGTCTCTAGGGCTTAATGGCCAAACAGAAGAATGTATTTTTGCCAGCATTGTGCTTAAAGGCAAATAATGCCTCATAAGTGGAAATTCACCATAAGTACAAGCAGAAGCCAGGATTTAAACCTGAACATAAAAAAAAAACTGTTTTATCATCCGGAAATAATTGCATCCAAAATATCCACTGTGGTTCATAAACTGAGATATTTGACTTCTCAATGTCAGACTCTCTTTTTAATCTGTTGGAAAATCAGTGGAATCTTTAACAGCAGACTCAAGGCATACAAAGTTTTGTGTAAAAAAAAAAAACTGATTCTCACTTTGATTGTATTTGTTTTAATCCATGATTTCTTCTTTTTTTCGTTCCCTTTGTTTTAGTTTCAAAAAACTAAAACTGTGAAATTACGCATAACGCATGTGCGTAAAAGTTATAATTGAAACGCGCTGACAGAGGGATTCAACAGAAATAATTACCCTTTTTTCTGCACTTGAATAATAAATAAACGTAGAGCTGTAAAGCAAAGAATAAAAATAAAGCTTACTTCTCCCCCCAACTGTTGAAACCCGGCCGGCATGACTTTAACAACTTCAGGCACCCGGCTGCAGGTGGTGACAGATGCGTTTGGTGCCAAATGGAGAAGAGCCCCGCTCTAAAACCCGCCAAATCAGAAAGAAGCAAAAACCAGTAGATTTAATCCAAAGATGAAAAAAGTTGAACAAATGTGCTCGGTCCTGGAGCACAGGTTGCCCTCTCTCCTCTGTACAGTTTGACTTGTCCGTCCTGCTCGGATAGAGTGACGGACGGCTGCGCGCAAACGCCCTAACCTTAGCTGTCATTGGCTGAAAGAGAGACGGAGAACCGTCCCAGAGGATGAATTAGGCCCTAATTCAGAATTTTATTAGGGGGCCCCACCTACAGGTAGAAGCCAACCAGCCACTGCAGTGTCACTAACCTCCCTTTGAACCCTCTGGAAGTACTTTTGAACAGGGGGTGCTGTGATTTTTATTTTTATTTTATTTTTATTTTTTTTGACAAAATACCTTTGAGCCTATAGGACTATTTAAAATACAACGAATAAAACAATTAATTGGGTTTCACTACTTTATTGTAACACAGACATCACCAGTTCCAGGGCTGCCAACTTTTCACCAAACCTTGGGGTAAGGTTTTTGCAATAGTTTGGACAGGACATCCTGTCAGGGTTAAAATTAGGATAGGTGCATCTATAGGTTGGAAGTTTTCGGAGGATTTAACTGAAACAAAGTGGCAAATGTAGAATTTTTATAGCACATATGTTACTGAGTAACAATAAGTGGTCTGTAGTTATGTGGAACATTTTTCACACAATATAAATTATTTTCTACATTCTGGTGATTTTTTAGAGAATTGAAGTAAAGCAGAATAGGCCCTACTTGCATCTTAAATATACTTTAAATTAAGAATTTCACAACTTTGTTCATTGGTTGTTCTCTGCAGTTCAAGTAAATTAAACAACTAGATTACTGGCACTGATAGAGGAACCAGAGCAATTGAAACCTATGCAAATTGTGTGTGAATATTTGGTAATAGGCGGAGGACTAAAAAGCTTTATTCATGATATTATTAGTTACAATCAATTTTACAATTGACAAAAACTCATCATGAACTCAGCACTTCTCTGGATGTTTCATTTGGAAGGTGTGATGGAAATTAAGTTTTTATACATATTCAATGGACTAAAATAAAGATAAATGAATAAGATCAGTAATAATAAAAGAAGAATATCCCTGTGGTTTTTCCTCCATAATTCCAGGATTACTTAGCTGTTCTGCACATCCTCTCTGAATGTGGTTGGTCTTTTCTTTGGTGGCTGATCTTTTGAAATATAAAATGCAATGGTTCTTTTTCTTTTTACGGAGCTCCTATGGAGCTCCAAAATCCTCTTACCCAAACCACAAGGAAATAACTACTTTATTATCCTATTTAAACGTTATTGAACAGTTTTCCACATCAATCACAAAGAGAACACAAGATCAAAATAACAGTCAAAAATACATTGGTTATGTTAAAATGCAGGAATAGATATAAAAAGTGTGCAACGGCACCATGCTCACTTTGAGTTACAGGCAGGGTGCCCTGCCTGGTTACAGGTGTCTAAATGTACAGGTGCCCTGGGAGGTTCTCATTTCTTTCATTAAATTATGTAAATCTGCTAGTCTGCTTCTGCAAGCTTGGTGACAGCTAGGGTGCTTGACGTATCCATGACAACGTAATTAACTTGTGTTGATTAGGCCTCAAAAATTAAATAAAAATCCAAATAATGTAATAATAAGATAGATAAAAGTCAAAATCATTTACCAAAATATTAATAAAATAGTTAGAAATTGTGCTAAGTATTTTAACACAATTTTTCTTTTTTTTATTATCTACCACTCCCCACTAGGGGGTGCTGCAGTACCCCCCACTTCCTTCGGCCATGGATGATGGCCAAACTTTTCAGCTTCTGACCCATAAAATGATAACAGTAGAGAGTCATTAACCAAGCTGTTGGTTGAGGAAAGAAGTATTTCAGCAACATCAATTAACCATGGATGCAATAATATTATAAACAGAATCAGCAACCAAAGAAGTTGGTTTTCAAAATTTTTAATAATTGTTTTTTTTATCTAAGCACTTAAACAAAACTATTGAGTGTTTAATTTAATTTCTGCAATGGATTTCAAGACTCTGTACTGGTTGATCAAGTGCCCCAAGTAGGGTTCAATGCGTTAGAAAACGTTAACATGGCTATTATGTGATATAGGGCTATAGCCAATTAAGTTTGTTTGTTTCTAACAAACAGAAGTAATGGCTTGTATATCCAGTGCCATGACAAAGTCAGGCACTGGATATACAGATTTCTTGTAATTTTGATATTTTACTTTTATGGTAATTTAAGTGTTATGAAGCCCAGTAAACTGGATCGCTTACCCTCATGCAATCACAGGCTCATCCGTCTGTGAAGCAGCTAATTAGCATTCAACCGCACCTGTTCGTAATCCAATCTGCATCAGAGTCAACAGCTCATCCTGACACCAATGAGTTGGGTTGCATGTCAGATTTTGGTTATAATGACCCTGATTCAATCCTCCTTCATTCCCTTATCTACTGTCCTCGCAAGCTCATCCAGCTCCTTTTCTATGCCAATGCTTACCCCCATCTAAGTAAACTGGACTCATAAGATTTTCACAAGGCATCCCCAGCCACTCTGGCAGAACACAGCCATGATGAGCCTGGTTCGGCCAGAGATTTCTTCCCCAGGGGAGTATTTTCTCTCCACTGTCGCTCCATGCTTGCTGATCATGGAGGTTCATACAAACCTGCGCCTGGTTCCAGCTGGTATTGTTCTTCATATCATCTCAATTCCATCAGTAGTTTGAGCCCTAGGGGGCTTCGTCCCTGTTCTAATTCAGCATCTTGTGCATGTAATAAAAGTAAAATTCATTGTTAGTCTTCCCCACCAATGCCTGAACGCAAAAGTCTTAAAATATTGTGTCAATAAAACTCTTCCAATTATCTTCCTTCTTTTTGTGAGTTTTTCAGGTTGAATTTACACCGTTTTACAACAACAATAATTACATTATAGACAAAGTCCAAGGCCCTAAACACTGCTAAAAAATATAACAGATTCACACCTCCTATCCAAAAAACAAAACAAACAAACAATAAAATAAAACAAAATAGAACAGCTGATGTATACTAATATTAAATGGCCGACAAGGTGACTCTGAAACTCTAGTTTGCCCTGGATTTTATTTTAGGTTATCAGAGTGAAGGGTATGATACTTTTTAGATTTTCCTATGTAAAAATAAGAAATTTGATGCCATGTATTATCTTTGTTTCACATCACAATTATGTGTTTTTCTTGATATTTTAAAACATTTGTGAAATATATTTGAATATATATATGAGGGGTATGAATACCTTTTAAAGACTCTGTATATTCTGCTGAACTTTTTGAACATATTTGTATTGACTTTGCTTTATGTAAAGATAAAAAAAAACATATTACGAGTGAGACAAAAAGAAAACCCCTCAGTCTATTGAATACACGTAACCGTGACTCAACTTTTGGCATCTGCAGCAAATGAGGGCTCGTCTTTGCTATTGTCTTTCACCCCAACAAAGTTAAATCTCTTTCTATTTCAGATCACATGCCAAAGAGGTCGCATATTCCCTTCCTTCCACCATCACCCCCCTCCCCTGCTGATCCCTGTCAGTCAAACCTATTCAACAAAGCCCAATCCCCCCCCCCCCCCCCCCCCCCCCCCCCCCCCCCCCCACCCCCCGCCCAGCAGGCAACAGGTGCTCTCTAAATCTGGGCCCTGGCGCCTAAATTCGGAGCATTGGTGCAGTTGTATTTAGGTTTGCATTCAAACATCTTTATGGGTAAACACAGCCCCACCTTCCATCCATCTATTTAATGCACACTGTTCTCTACTTCTCTTTTCCCTTTTGCAGGTCAGCCCGACCCGCCCTCCACTTAAAAGCCGAGCCGAGTCATGTGTGACTCTTACTAAATGCAGAGAAACTTTACACCATCAGCATGGTGGCGAAGAGCCCCTGCCAGCATAGTTTGAAGGCTTATGTGTGCAACCAGGAGGAGAAAGAGACAGGATAGTATTCCAGAGGAGATCATATAAACTCATAGAGAGACAGCCAAGAACAAGTACAGACACTGACAACTGTATACGTTTCCACTGAAACCCCGCCACTCTGCTCTTTTTAATTGGAGGCTGGAGCTAGTGAGACCAGTTGGGGTTTTATAAACCAGCCAAGAACATCACGCCACCATCAACACACACCATGTGACTGCTCTCTAGTGATCTTCAGAAGCAGCATATGTAAATATGAGTCCTCCTTGTCACGACCTATATATAGGCCTTGATATATATACATATATATATATTAGATGTGGGAGTTTAGTGTGGATGGCTGGGGTCATCTGGTTCAAAATCATGCTACAGTTTATGTCGCGTGACGGTCGTTAGGTGCTGACATTCAAACACGTGTACCGAGACGGCATTCTGATGTCCGACTGCTAGAAATACACATACAGTTCCAGGCAGACATTTCCTCTTTTGTTTTAACACTTATCTTTTAATTTGGAATTACTGTAAAACTAAAAAAAAAGAAAAAAAAAAAAGAACAAAATTAAGAAAATCGTAGAAACTGGGTGTGGTGGTTTAAATGTATTGTTTATTTTCTCCAGTCTATAAATGGTCAAAGATATACATTCCACTTAGATAAATCAAATAAAGTACATGGATATTTATCTAAATGTGTGTCATCATGGTGCTACCTGATGGAGTGATTTTTGATAAATATGGCTGGATATTTGACCACTCTTCTTGGGAGAATAAATGGAGTTCATATAAAACAATGCATTGATAGGTAAATGCTAATTCCCTGAATTAAGGCAAGATTCCTTTAGAGATACTAAGAACTAAACAAAGCGTAGACGGTTCTAGAAAGGGGCCAACAGGTGCCAGTGCCCCTGTAGACCTGATCTTGGCCCCTGTATTGATGACATACACTACAAAAACTAAAATATAAGTAAGTTTTTCTTGGAAAACATATTTTTCCTTGATTGGAGCAGGTAGGTAAGACAATTAACTAATTTATGGCTATGCACTATGGACAGTGACACTAATAGTTCTTGTCAGAGTACCTCCTGGTTTAAGCACTCAAAACAATTTATTTCTCTCTGCCTAACACTCTGGGTTAAACTGTTGGACACAGTTGAGTGATGTAACAAGGCAATGGTCCTTAAAACACAGAGTAGCTGGTTTGGGGAGGTGTGTGTTACAACCCCTCCTTGT